TTCTGCCACATGCTGTTCTGCCACATGCTGTTCTGCCACATGCTGTTCTGCCACATGCTGTGCTGCCACATGCTGTGCTGCCACATGCTGTGCTGCCACATGCTGTGCTGCCACATGCTGTGCTGCCACATGCTGTGCTGCCACATGCTGTGCTGCCACATGCTGTGCTGCCACATGCTGTTCTGCCACATGCTGTTCTGCCACATGCTGTGCTGCCACATGCTGTGCTGCCACATGCTGTTCTGCCACATGCTGTGCTGCCACATGCTGTGCTGCCACATGCTGTGCTGCCACATGCTGTTCTGCCACATGCTGTGCTGCCACATGCTGTTCTGCCACATGCTGTGCTGCCACATGCTGTGCTGCCACATGCTGTGCTGCCACATGCTGTGCTGCCACATGCTGTTCTGCCACATGCTGTGCTGCCACATGCTGTTCTGCCACATGCTGTGCTGCCACATGCTGTTCTGCCACATGCTGTTCTGCCACATGCTGTTCTGCCACATGCTGTTCTGCCACATGCTGTTCTGCCACATGCTGTTCTGCCACATGCTGTTCTGCCACATGCTGTGCTGCCACATGCTGTTCTGCCACATGCTGTTCTGCCACATGCTGTGCTGCCACATGCTGTTCTGCCACATGCTGTGCTGCCACATGCTGTTCTGCCACATGCTGTTCTGCCACATGCTGTTCTGCCACATGCTGTTCTGCCACATGCTGTTCTGCCACATGCTGTGCTGCCACATGCTGTTCTGCCACATGCTGTTCTGCCACATGCTGTGCTGCCACATGCTGTTCTGCCACATGCTGTTCTGCCACATGCTGTTCTGCCACATGCTGTTCTGCCACATGCTGTGCTGCCACATGCTGTGCTGCCACATGCTGTGCTGCCACATGCTGTGCTGCCACATGCTGTGCTGCCACATGCTGTGCTGCCACATGCTGTGCTGCCACATGCTGTGCTGCCACATGCTGTGCTGCCACATGCTGTGCTGCCACATGCTGTTCTGCCACATGCTGTTCTGCCACATGCTGTGCTGCCACATGCTGTGCTGCCACATGCTGTTCTGCCACATGCTGTGCTGCCACATGCTGTGCTGCCACATGCTGTGCTGCCACATGCTGTTCTGCCACATGCTGTGCTGCCACATGCTGTGCTGCCACATGCTGTGCTGCCACATGCTGTGCTGCCACATGCTGTTCTGCCACATGCTGTGCTGCCACATGCTGTTCTGCCACATGCTGTGCTGCCACATGCTGTTCTGCCACATGCTGTGCTGCCACATGCTGTTCTGCCACATGCTGTTCTGCCACATGCTGTTCTGCCACATGCTGTGCTGCCACATGCTGTTCTGCCACATGCTGTTCTGCCACATGCTGTGCTGCCACATGCTGTTCTGCCACATGCTGTGCTGCCACATGCTGTGCTGCCACATGCTGTTCTGCCACATGCTGTGCTGCCACATGCTGTTCTGCCACATGCTGTGCTGCCACATGCTGTGCTGCCACATGCTGTTCTGCCACATGCTGTGCTGCCACATGCTGTTCTGCCACATGCTGTGCTGCCACATGCTGTGCTGCCACATGCTGTTCTGCCACATGCTGTGCTGCCACATGCTGTTCTGCCACATGCTGTGCTGCCACATGCTGTTCTGCCACATGCTGTTCTGCCACATGCTGTTCTGCCACATGCTGTGCTGCCACATGCTGTTCTGCCACATGCTGTTCTGCCACATGCTGTGCTGCCACATGCTGTTCTGCCACATGCTGTGCTGCCACATGCTGTGCTGCCACATGCTGTTCTGCCACATGCTGTGCTGCCACATGCTGTTCTGCCACATGCTGTGCTGCCACATGCTGTGCTGCCACATGCTGTTCTGCCACATGCTGTGCTGCCACATGCTGTTCTGCCACATGCTGTGCTGCCACATGCTGTTCTGCCACATGCTGTTCTGCCACATGCTGTGCTGCCACATGCTGTTCTGCCACATGCTGTGCTGCCACATGCTGTGCTGCCACATGCTGTGCTGCCACATGCTGTTCTGCCACATGCTGTGCTGCCACATGCTGTTCTGCCACATGCTGTGCTGCCACATGCTGTGCTGCCACATGCTGTTCTGCCACATGCTGTGCTGCCACATGCTGTTCTGCCACATGCTGTGCTGCCACATGCTGTTCTGCCACATGCTGTTCTGCCACATGCTGTTCTGCCACATGCTGTTCTGCCACATGCTGTTCTGCCACATGCTGTTCTGCCACATGCTGTTCTGCCACATGCTGTTCTGCCACATGCTGTTCTGCCACATGCTGTTCTGCCACATGCTGTGCTGCCACATGCTGTTCTGCCACATGCTGTGCTGCCACATGCTGTGCTGCCACATGCTGTTCTGCCACATGCTGTGCTGCCACATGCTGTTCTGCCACATGCTGTGCTGCCACATGCTGTGCTGCCACATGCTGTTCTGCCACATGCTGTGCTGCCACATGCTGTTCTGCCACATGCTGTGCTGCCACATGCTGTGCTGCCACATGCTGTTCTGCCACATGCTGTGCTGCCACATGCTGTTCTGCCACATGCTGTGCTGCCACATGCTGTTCTGCCACATGCTGTTCTGCCACATGCTGTTCTGCCACATGCTGTGCTGCCACATGCTGTTCTGCCACATGCTGTTCTGTCACATGCTGTGCTGCCACATGCTGTTCTGCCACATGCTGTGCTGCCACATGCTGTGCTGCCACATGCTGTTCTGCCACATGCTGTGCTGCCACATGCTGTTCTGCCACATGCTGTGCTGCCACATGCTGTGCTGCCACATGCTGTTCTGCCACATGCTGTGCTGCCACATGCTGTTCTGCCACATGCTGTGCTGCCACATGCTGTTCTGCCACATGCTGTTCTGCCACATGCTGTGCTGCCACATGCTGTTCTGCCACATGCTGTGCTGCCACATGCTGTGCTGCCACATGCTGTGCTGCCACATGCTGTTCTGCCACATGCTGTGCTGCCACATGCTGTTCTGCCACATGCTGTGCTGCCACATGCTGTGCTGCCACATGCTGTTCTGCCACATGCTGTGCTGCCACATGCTGTTCTGCCACATGCTGTGCTGCCACATGCTGTTCTGCCACATGCTGTGCTGCCACATGCTGTTCTGCCACATGCTGTTCTGCCACATGCTGTTCTGCCACATGCTGTTCTGCCACATGCTGTGCTGCCACATGCTGTTCTGCCACATGCTGTTCTGCCACATGCTGTGCTGCCACATGCTGTTCTGCCACATGCTGTGCTGCCACATGCTGTGCTGCCACATGCTGTGCTGCCACATGCTGTTCTGCCACATGCTGTGCTGCCACATGCTGTTCTGCCACATGCTGTGCTGCCACATGCTGTGCTGCCACATGCTGTTCTGCCACATGCTGTGCTGCCACATGCTGTTCTGCCACATGCTGTGCTGCCACATGCTGTTCTGCCACATGCTGTGCTGCCACATGCTGTTCTGCCACATGCTGTTCTGCCACATGCTGTTCTGCCACATGCTGTGCTGCCACATGCTGTTCTGCCACATGCTGTTCTGCCACATGCTGTGCTGCCACATGCTGTTCTGCCACATGCTGTGCTGCCACATGCTGTGCTGCCACATGCTGTTCTGCCACATGCTGTGCTGCCACATGCTGTTCTGCCACATGCTGTGCTGCCACATGCTGTTCTGCCACATGCTGTGCTGCCACATGCTGTTCTGCCACATGCTGTTCTGCCACATGCTGTTCTGCCACATGCTGTGCTGCCACATGCTGTTCTGCCACATGCTGTTCTGCCACATGCTGTGCTGCCACATGCTGTTCTGCCACATGCTGTTCTGCCACATGCTGTGCTGCCACATGCTGTTCTGCCACATGCTGTGCTGCCACATGCTGTGCTGCCACATGCTGTGCTGCCACATGCTGTTCTGCCACATGCTGTGCTGCCACATGCTGTTCTGCCACATGCTGTGCTGCCACATGCTGTGCTGCCACATGCTGTTCTGCCACATGCTGTGCTGCCACATGCTGTTCTGCCACATGCTGTGCTGCCACATGCTGTTCTGCCACATGCTGTGCTGCCACATGCTGTTCTGCCACATGCTGTTCTGCCACATGCTGTTCTGCCACATGCTGTTCTGCCACATGCTGTGCTGCCACATGCTGTTCTGCCACATGCTGTTCTGCCACATGCTGTGCTGCCACATGCTGTTCTGCCACATGCTGTGCTGCCACATGCTGTGCTGCCACATGCTGTGCTGCCACATGCTGTTCTGCCACATGCTGTGCTGCCACATGCTGTTCTGCCACATGCTGTGCTGCCACATGCTGTGCTGCCACATGCTGTTCTGCCACATGCTGTGCTGCCACATGCTGTTCTGCCACATGCTGTGCTGCCACATGCTGTTCTGCCACATGCTGTGCTGCCACATGCTGTTCTGCCACATGCTGTTCTGCCACATGCTGTTCTGCCACATGCTGTGCTGCCACATGCTGTTCTGCCACATGCTGTTCTGCCACATGCTGTGCTGCCACATGCTGTTCTGCCACATGCTGTGCTGCCACATGCTGTGCTGCCACATGCTGTTCTGCCACATGCTGTGCTGCCACATGCTGTTCTGCCACATGCTGTGCTGCCACATGCTGTTCTGCCACATGCTGTGCTGCCACATGCTGTTCTGCCACATGCTGTTCTGCCACATGCTGTTCTGCCACATGCTGTGCTGCCACATGCTGTTCTGCCACATGCTGTTCTGCCACATGCTGTGCTGCCACATGCTGTGCTGCCACATGCTGTTCTGCCCACCTTCCTGCCACCCAAGTTCACATTCATGCCACCATGCCACCATGCCACCATGCCACCACCACACCAGATCTACTACTCGCTGGCGCATGCCAGGCGGGAAAGATTGCAGTGTGTGCATCCTGGTCTTTCAACCCCAACCCGACTCCCCCGTCCCACCCTGCCCCCACCACACCAGATCTACTACTCGCTGGCGCACGCCAGGAGGGCGAGGAAGCAGTGGGAGGTGGGGCTGATGCGCATAGAGCAGCTGGCGCCCATGGCTGTGGACCATGTAGCACGGGTCATCAACAGCCACAGTGCGGCAGAGCTCGTGTGGGCTCAGGTGAGCGCTCTCTCTTTCCCCCGCACCCCCTCTCCTTCGTACCCCTCCCCCCTCTGGGTTGATGCGCATAGAGCAGCTGGCGCCCATGGTTGTGGACCATGTTGCACGGGTCATCAACAGCCACTCCAACGCTGAACTCGTGTGGGCGCAGGTCAGTGCTTCCCCTCTTCCTCCCCCACCTTCTTTGCTTCCCCCACACTCGTGTGAATGCAAGCGCAGCCCAGGTACTGTTTTTGACATGCACAGCTTTCCCGTCTCTTTTTTTTGCCGCATCATGGCGTTTGTTCTATTGCATTGTTACAGGAGGAGCCTAAGAACATGGGAGCTTGGCCGTACATCAGACCACGTGTCGCCACGCTACTGCACAGCCTGTGTCCAGATCACCCTGCCACGTCAGCACCCACGCCCATCCGTTTTGTTGGACGTGCCCCCTCAGCCTCTCCTGCCACTGGTAGCTTTGCCATCCACCAATCAGAAACCAAAGCCATCATTGACGCTGCACTTGCATGACTTCATGATCAAGTTCAGGAAGAAATAATCTAGCATATTATCGCTTGCCGCTCGTGGAAATAAGCTTCTATTATTCAGGTTCATGAAAATCAGAGATCCACAGAATGGCCATCTCACACAGTAAAACACATCAAATTGCGGTAAGTTTAAAAACACTTTAGTACAGTTTCGTTGTAACAGGTCCAATCAGCTTCGACATTGGCGCGAGCTCATGTGGTTGGCTCGTGCGACTCCAAGCAGACCTGCCCTTCTTCCCTTCGAATTGCCGTGACCATACACCCCGCAGCCCGCTACTCCGAGCAACTGGCTTGCTCAGAATTCAATCCAATGCGGTTAGATAAGATGGTACAGAGGTTTTGTTGCAAACGATAACGGTTATATATGGTTTTGTGAGATATTGAGAAAATATCCCATCTACACCAGGTTGGTCTGTTGTTGGAGCCATCGTGGTTTGGTTGTTCGTGAGGATTTTTGGTGCGCCGGCATGGTGGTTGTTGGATCCCTTTCCAACTCCAGCTGATCACTCCACCACAAGCCTTCACTAGCTTGCATGGATTCACCTGTTTCGCACTGGATTTAGGGTTTGATCGCCTAGTACGGACTAGATTTACCTGTTTCAAGTGCAATTCAGGGAGAGTCAGGCTGGCAGGCTTTGATTTGATGTATCCGGAACAGCGACAATACAAAAATCCTGAGCCGGATCTAGTGCGGTGATCTCCGGTTAAATTCTTGTCACTACCAGCATCCACGCGGAACCTTATCCCTCCGTCTAAGGAATCCTCTCATTTGCGCTTCTTAGTGTTAGGCTCATCCTCTTACATAAGCTTTCACATGCTCAGTCTTTTTCCCTAGTTCAACCACTCGAGCATTTCTCAATGCAGCAGTCAGCTGCGGCCGGTAAGAGCGGCAGGTACGGTCGGTCCCCCTCCGATTCCCGCGACTCCCCCCTTGCGCCGTCCCGCTCCGATCAGCCGAGCTGGCGCTCCGCCGCCGCCGCTCCTCCCCCGCCCGCGGGACCAGGAGCGGCGGGAGCAGGCGGAGGGGGGAGCACGGGATGGGGGGACAGCGCGGACGGCGGCAGATCTGCGGGCGGCGCAGCTCCCGGGGGAGCGTGGGCGCGGGGCGGACCTGGGAAGAGCGACAACGCTTGGGGAAGGGGGCCTGGTGGAGCCGGCGGCGCTGGCGGGGCTGGCGGAGCTCGCGGGGGACCTGGCGGAAACCCGTGGCACACGGGCGGAGGCGGGGTGGGTGTGCTGACTGGCGCGTGGCAGCAGCCGCTGCCACACCTGCAGCAACCACCGCCGCCGCAGCAGGCGCAGCTGGACCAGGCGCAAGCGGGGAAGGGCGCGCGGAAAGGGGACTTCGGGGGCGCGCTTGACAGAGCGAAGGAGAGTGCGAATGGGGGGAGCGCGAACGGGGGGAGCGCGGGAGATGCGAGCGTGGGGGCAGCGCGCGCGGGGGGACGGGAGTGGATGGTGGCGATGAGCGCGTGTTTGATAGGGCACGCGGTGGAGGTACAACTGGTGCAGGGCGACTCGTACTCAGGCATATTCCACGCTGCTAACGAGGAAGACTTTGGTGAGTTGGTCGCTAACGAGGGGGTTGTTTGAATTGGGAGGCTTGGAGGTTTGAGTTTATGGTGACATTTTTGTGGACTCATAATGCTTGGAAAAAAAAAAAGGTTTTAGGTGGTGTTTTCTGGCCATGCCCCCATCCCCATCCCATCTACCACACCCCACCGTGCCCAACCACCCCACTTCCATTCCATGTTCCTGACAGCATGCTGCAGGCATGGTGCTCAGGACGGAGCGGCTGGAGCGGTCTCGTTCATTTTTTGTTCCCAAATTCAGGAAGTCACACTCAATCTTATGCACTCGTTTGCCATTCTGCTCCTAACCTAACCCCATGCCACCAGGTGTGGTGCTGAGGATGGCGCGGCTGGTGCGGCAGGGGACAGACCTGCTGAGCACAGAGACGCCCGCAGTCAGAGAAGCTGCCAGGAAGCCTCCTCTGAAGACGCTGGTGGTTCCTGCGGCCGACCTGGTGCAGCTGATCGCCAAGGCAAGTTCAAACTTGCTCTCTAAGCTGCTCTCTCTCAAGCGGTCTCTCTCGCTCTCTCTCAAGCGGTCTCTCTCGCTCTCTCTCAAGCGGTCTCTCTCTCTCTCTCTTGAACGGTCTCTCTCTCTCTCTCCCCAAGTTCACCCTTCATGCTGCTCTTTCGCCCCAGCCTTGTCTCCCCCAAGCTCTCTTTCGTTTGTATCCGTGTGACGGAAGTTAAGTGTCAGCGTCTGAACTTTCAGCAAGGACTTTTCAGTGGGCATTGGCTACGGATCGACTTTTTAGAAAAGTTCCTCCTGCATCTTTTCCCCACTTTTCTCTCCCCGTCTCTCTCTCCCCAACTCTCTCTCCTCACTCCTCCTCATCCACTCTCTCACCCACCCCCACTTTTTCATTCCCTGTTACTCACTCATTCCCGCCTCCCTCCATCACACACAGGACGTGCCTCTGTTTGGATCCGACGTGCTGGCCTCGTCTCTGGCGGCCAACGGGGAGATCAGAACGGACAGCAGCATCGGCAGCATGCTCACCAACGCACGGAGCAGCTGGGGGGGCGCAGAGGGGGAGGGGAACGGTCGGAGCGAGGGGCGCGAGCTGCCGCAGTGGCGGGCTGAGACAACTTTTGAGGCGCCTTGAAAACCCTCTTCCTTTCTCACCCCTCCCCCCCCCCTCTCTCACCCTCCCTCGCCCGCTCACAGGACGTGCCTCTGTTCGGATCCGACCTGCTGGCCTCGTCTCTGGCGGCCAACGGGGAGATCCGAACGGACAGCAGCATCGGCAGCATGCTCACCAACGCACGCGGCTCCTGGGGGGGCGCAGGCGGAGGCGCAGGAGGGGAGGGGCGAGAGTTACAGCGGTGGGCGCCGGAGGGAGGGGAGGAGGGGATGGGTCTGGACGAGGATAACTTCAGAAGCAGCTCCAGGTAGGGATGAGCAAGGGGCGAACACGAACATGTTCGTGTTCGCCCCTAGACGAACACATCCGTTTGCCGAACCGAACAGTGTTCGGTTCGGCGAACACTTTAAGCAAAAACAAGTGTTCGCCGTTCGCCTGTGAAGGCATGTTCGGGCGAACATCGAACACGTTCGTGTTCGTCGCGGGGCAAATTGCAGCAGCGGCCCGAACACGAACGTGTTCGGGCGAACATCGAACACTGTTCGGCGAACAATTTAAGCAAAAAAAACAAACATGTTCGGTTCGCCTCGAACACGTTCGAGGCGAACCGAACAGGTGTTCGCCCTTGTGCTCATGTCTAGCTCCAGGTACGGAGATGGAGGGGGGGAGAGAGGGTAGAGGGAAGAGGGAAGAGATGAGTCCTCCATTTTGAGGTGAGAGAGGAAAGAGAGATGCTGTGTGCAGAGGGCATGGCACCGGTTTGATGGAGGTGAACCGGAAACGTTTTAGTGTGGAGACTGTATTTTGAGGCGCCTCAAAATACACCTCAATGCACGCGGATTTTGAGGCGCCTCAAAATACATCCCAGAGGGCATGGCACCGGTTTGATGAGGTGAACCGGAAACGTTTTAGTGTGAAGACTTCGTTCGACGAGGCCCTATCTACTCCACACGACACCTCTGTCCTACCCCTCCTTCGTCCCTACATGCACTGTCAGGGCGTGGGACCAGTTTGAGGCGAACCGGAAACTGTTTGGAGTGGAGACGTCATTCGACGAGGCCATCTACACGACTCCGCTGGTGCGGCCGTCCCGGGAGCTGCAGGCGCATGCTGAGCGCATCGCGAGGGAGATTGAGTCGCAGCCGAGCAGGAACATGCACACTGCTGAGGTGAGGAAAGGGGCTGCTTCTGCAGCACATATGTTCAGACATGGCATGTGTGCGTGAGAGGACATGGGAGCTGCAAGCGCAGGGGAGGGATATGCGCTTTGTGCAAAAATGCAGCTCAGCAAAGTCGCCCAGCAGCCCGCACGCTGGCATGCATCATCCTCCACTCATCTTCTGCTCATCTCGTCCGCATGTCCCTCTCATGACCCCCCCATCAGGAGCGAGGCTTCCACCTGCGCACAGCAGCGCGCACGCTGGCCTCGGCAGTCAAGGCTGCCCTCTCCTCGGATGACCCATCTGCTGCCGCCGCTGCTGCTGCTGTTGGGGGTCTGGGAGGCAATGCGGACAGTGCATGGGACGATGATGATGATATTGACGAGGAGACCAAGTACTCGTCGGTCATCCGCTCTGCGTAAGTGTTTTTTTGTCACTGATTTATTTATTTGTTTATTTAATTATCAGGAGAGGCGCTTTTGAGATTTCTGCAGGGCGGCATGTTTGTTTGTTTGTTTTTTTTTTTTTTTTTTTTTTTTTTGGTAATTTGTTGGGTAGCGTACTAGCGTTTAAGTGTTATTAAGAGCACTCCGTTGTAACGAGATGGATGATGCATCCGTGCCAACCATATCACCCATTCCATACCACCATCGCCCACGTGTCATGTACCCCAGCGGCGCTGATCTAGACAGTGACATGGACGACGAGGTGGATGATGCACCCATGCTCCCTTACCCACCCACCCATACCACCCACCCGTGCTGCCATCCCACCCATACCACCCACCCGTGCTGCCATCCCACCCATGCCACCCACCCATGCACTCATGCACTGCAGCGCTGATCTGGACAGTGGGATGGACGACGAGGTGGATGATGCCAACGATGAGACCTTTGGTGATGCCGCCCCCACCACCGTGCATGGCACTGTACGTCAGGTGCGGTGGGAGTGGGGCGAGGGGGAGACAGAGGTGGGGGGAGAAGGGGTAGGTTAGAGTTGGTGTTGGTGCTCCTCCCACGGGCCTTGCCAGTCTGGATCAGGTGGGGGGAAGGGAATGGGCCAGATGTGGTTGCTGGTGGTGGGGGGGTTGGTGAAAATTAGGTTGGTGAGTGTGGGGTGGTGAATGTGATGTTGGTGGTGGTTGCAACGCATTTGGCGGTTGATAGGCATAGGCGAAATAAATATTTCACATGACACACGTGCCTCCCCTTGTGCTTACCCTATTCTTTCCTTTCTCTTCTCTCAAATCTGCTGCTTCTCTTTTCAACCCTGCATGTTCCTCTCCCCCATGCTCCTTCTCCAACCAACCCTTCTTGCTTGTTGCTACCCCCAGGCGCCCCCCTTGCTGCCTACTCCTGGTGCTTCATCTGAATCCGCTGCCAAAAGCGCTCCAGGAGAAAGCCAGAAACAGACAGAATTTGCCGCCCCAGAAGCTGCCGGCGAGGGCGAGAAACGGACGGAATCTGCCGCCCAAACGACTGCGGGTGGCAGCAGTGACGAGACGGAGAGGGGAGAGACGGTGAAGGAGGGGAGTAGTGGAACCGAGGAAAGGAAGGAGGAGGGGACGAAGGGAGCAGCAGAGGGCGGGAAAGGGGAGAGGAAGGAGGGCGAGAAAGACGGAAAGGAAGGGAAGAAAGCGAAGGAAGGGAAGGAGGCGAGGGAGGGGAAGGCGGCAGTGGGGGCGTCACGGTCATCATCAGCATCATCCACTTCATCTGCCAGTGGCGCCAGTGGTGCCAGCGGTGCTCTCTCCGCCTCTGATCTGCCCTCCATCCCCTCGCACCCGCGCCTGCGCATGCACCCCCGCCGCCTGGTCAAGGTGAGGGAACGGGGGGCAATGGGGACTGGGAAGCAGGAAGTGGATGGGGCATTGGGACGACTGGGGACAGCGGTGCTCTCTCCGCCTCCGCCCTGCCTCCCTCCCCTCCCACCACGCCTGTGCATGCACCCGCGCTGGCTTGTCAGAGTGTGGGAGGAGAGGGACTGAGGATTGGGGAATGGGAAACGGCAATGGGGAACGGGAACGGGGCCTGAACGGGGGGAACGCACACTTGCCGCATTGTCGAGATATACCTTCTAGTGAATGGGGAGTGGGGAATAGGAACCTGAACGGGGAACACAACCTGCTGCCTTGTCAAAATTTACCTCCTCATCCCTCTCTCACCTCCTGCCTCCTTACAGCCTAAGCCTGTCAAGTACTGGTTTCTTCGAAGGTCATCTGAAATGCCTTATTGTATTGGTCGATCATTATTGCCCACCCACTCCCCACCCCCCCACCTTCCTACACCAGGCGGCATCAGGGGGACTCTTCCAGGTGCATGGCACTGGCAGTCCGTCCCGTCGCTCGCCCCTCATGTCGCCGCTGCTCACAGACGCCCCCGCCAACCTGCAGGCGCTCAACCTCGACCAGAGCGTGCCGCACCTCTCTGATGACGTGTACCGGTAGGTGGAGAGTGGTGGAGAGTGGTGGAGAGTGGTGGGGAGTGGTGGAGAGTGGTGGGGAGTGGTGTTGTGTGCAGCATGCCCAACCTGCAGGCGCTCAACCTCGACCAGAGCGTGCCGCACTTATCTGATGCCGTGTACCGGTGGGTGAGGAGGGGTGGGGGATGGTGGGGAGTGGTGAGGAGTGGTGGGGGGTGGGTGGTGCCTGAAGCATGCCCCCGCAAACCTGCAGCCTCTCAACCTCGACCAGAGCGTGCCACACCTGTCTGATGACGTGTACCGGTGGGTGTGAGGGACCAGGTGGGGGAGGGGAAAATGGGGTTCATTCAAATGTGAGCAGGTGAGACAAGAAGTGGAACAGGCACCCCCGCGAACCTGCAGGCACTCAGACTCAACTTGAGCGTGCCTGCACCACCTTTTATATGATGTCTCTGGTGGGTGGGTGGGTGTTCGCTCATAGTGCAAGAGCTCATAGTGGAAGAGCTCATAGTGGAAGAGCTCATAGTGGAAGAGCTCATAGTGGAAGAGCTCATAGTGCAATTCTTTAGTATTGCAGCTCTTCCACTATGATCGAAGAGCGTGCCTGCACCACCTTTTACATGATGTCTCTGGTGGGTGGGTGGGTGGGTGTGGAGGGCGAAGACTTTTGAGGCGCCTCAAAAGTCGTGCCTGCACCACCTTGTATATGATGTCTCTGGTGGGTGGGTGGGTGGGTGTGCATGGAGGGCGAAGAGGGGGGTGCAGTGGGAAAGGGTGGGTGTATAAGAATGCGTCTGGGCGATGATGAGGTGAGGAGTGCGAGCAACATGCCTCTGTCTGCCAACCCGCAGGCTTTCAATTCAAGTTGGTCCAGAGTGCACGTGCATGTGCATGTGCATGTGCATGTGCATGTGTATGTGCATGTGCATGTGCAACACCCTCTCCTACTGTCTTTGTCCTCAGGCCCTCTCAAAACTCCTTTCCCAGCCTGCAGGCACTCAAGCTGGACCAGAGTGAACGTGCACGTGGAACACTCTCTCCCGCTGTCCTTGTCTTGTGATAGAAGTTACTTTTTTTAGACGTCTCAAAAATCCTCTCCCATCCAGCAGGCACTCAAGCTGGACCAGAGTGAACGTGCACGTGCATGTGAAACACGCTCTCCCACTGTCCTTGTCCTCTCAAGGAGCTCCTAGACTTCAAGCAGAGACCCATCCTCACCCCTCCCTGTCACCGCGCCTCGCCTCTCTCCACCCCTCTCCACCCCTCCGTGCAGCGAGTTCCAGGAGTTCAAGCAGAGGAGCCGGCGCATGCGCGACGAGGCGGAGGGGGTGCGCTCGTGCAGCGACCTGCTGGGCAAGGTGGGGGGCTGGGCAGGGCGGGAGGTGGGGGGTGAAAGGTTGGAAAGTGAGGAGAGGGGGGTGTTGGAGGGAGGGGAGAGTGGGAGTGCACTTGTGCAGCGGCCTGCTGGGCAAGGAAGGGGGGGGATGGGGGGAGGTGGGAAGAGAATTCTTTGGTGTGACTCGTGAGGTACGATGTGGCGATGAATGAGTGAAGTGCTGGTGCTACTATGTAGTAAGATGTGGCGAGGTAGAGTGACAAGTTCAGAGCTTCAATCTTAGAGCCTTAGTTCGGAAAGACGCAGCTAGGACGCTGCGTCCTGCGTCCGGACGCAGCATCCGGACGCTAGGACGCAGGACGCGCGTCCAGACGCAGGACGCACGTCGAAAAAATTATCGGGCAGCCCGAAAAAAAAAATCGATTGCGATTTTGGCATTCCCACCCCTCCCCTCCCCAAGGGATACAAGTTGGAGGAGGACGGGGAGAGGGAGGTGGACGAGGACGACCCGGCAGTCGACGAGTACAAGGACCAGGAAGCGATGGACGAAGAGGAGAAGGAGAGCGAGGATGATGGGGATGCGTGATGGTTGACTTGATGCAGTGCAGTGGTAGTTTAGTATGCATGGTCGTAAATGGTTGGATTAAACGTAATGTGTGTGTGTGAGACCTTGTGAAATGTGTGACACGTGACTCACCTTAATCTCAAATTTTGGGGGAAAATTTTGTGGTTGGGGAAAATTTTGTGGTATGACACCCCCCTCCCCCCCTCTCCCAAGCCCTATACAATTTTTTTTGGCCTGCCCGGGGGTTTTTTTTGCCCTGCCCGGGCTTGCGTCTTTTGGTGCGTCTTACAGGTCAAGAGTCAGCGTCCTGCGTCTGGACGCATGCGTCTGGACGCATGCGTCCAGGACGCAGGACGCGTCTTTCTGAACTAAGCTTAGAGCTACTATGTCACAGCAGCATTTGATATAAGGATTTAGTGTTTCGAGCTAACGTGTTTCATTCACCTATGCTGTGATGTGCCATTCTGCAAGACAAACTGTGCGGTGCTGTGAGGTGCTGTGGGATGCCATGATTATTGCCGTGTAGCATGCTTGCCTCCTTGACTTGCTCGTACCAACCACCACCTCACAAGCCTCGCTTGTTATAATTCAATCGTTCACCCGCCTCAATATTTGTCTTATTGCCACCTCCTTACAAGCCTCATCTTCAATGCTTAGAATTGACTGGATCCCTCTTTGCTTCCCTCATCTGTGTGTGTCTTCCCCTCCTTCCCCCCTTCCCCCCCTTCTCCCCCCGCTCATTGTACGTGCCTCCTCTGACTGCTTCTCCGGTTGGTTCGCCTTCCGGCCATCCTCTTCTTATTTTTGCGGAAATCAAATCAAATCGTGGTGGCCGTATCTTCAGCAATTCGATTCTCGTTCTCCCGTCTCTTCATGTGAGTGTTGTTCAACTCTGGTGCCAAACCACACACCACCTCAGCCTCTGTCCGTGCTTCCTTGTGCTAAACCACACCACCTCCACACAGCCACTCTCTCATCTCCTGCCTCTTCTCCGATCTCCTCACTCCTCTTTGTCCCCACCATTCATTATCTCCTCGCTGCTCCTGCCTCCTCGCCTCTGCGGCCTTATAACCTCTGTTACGTCCTTCCTCCTGCCCTCGTTCCTCTAGTCGCATCACCCCCACCTACCTTGAGAGCTCTCACTCCTCCCCAGACCTAAAGCCCTTCCTAGCCTCTGCTGCCTCCTCGCCGCTGCTGCCTCATGCCCTCTGCTCCCTCCGTCCTCCGTCCCCCTGCCATTCCCTCTCTCTCCTCCCCCCTGACTGCAGGTCGCTCCTCTGGTCGCAACACTCCCACCCACCTACCTCGAGAGCTCCCACTCCTCTCCAGACCTCAACCTCTTGCTAAACCCTACACCCTGCTTTCTCGCCTCTGCCCTAAACCCTACCCTCCGCATCCTTGCCCTTTCCCGACCCCCCTCCTCTCCTTCCTTGCAGGTCGCTCATCTGGTCGCAACACCCCCACGTACCTCGAGAGCTCCCACTCCTCCCCGGACCTAAAGCCCTTCCTAGCCTCTGCAGCCTCGGCGCTCCTCCGCTCCTCCTCCTCTGCTGCTGTATCCTCCGCTGCCGCTCCTGCCACGTCATACCGCTCCCCGTCGCCGTCCAACCTGGCGCGCTCGAACTCGCATTCCGTGGACCCTCCTGCCACGTCAGCACCGGCTGCCACCTCAGCAGCCAAAGGACCGAAACCTGTTTCTGTCGAAGCAACAGTGGCTGCAGCGGCGGCGTTGGCGGCTCCAGGCGAGCAGGAGGCGAGCGTGGGAGAAACAAAATATGTAACAGCGGCAGCTGCACCAAGTGTTGGGGAGGCTGGAGCAGCAGGAGCGACAGGGAAGGTGGCAGAGGGTGCGGAAGAAGCACGGGCGGGAGCAGGAAGCAGCAGCGAAGCACCTGCTGCAGCTGCAGCTGGTGCTGGTGCTGCTCCTGCTGGTGCTGTGAAGAAATCCACCCTCAACCCGAACGCCAAGGTGTGAAAATACCTTCTCTCTCTCTCTCTCCAGGTTCCCATCTATCTGTGCCTCTCTGCCCCTCTCCGTTCCCTCCCAGTCCCGCTTCCTCTCCCCGTGCCGCTTTCTCCTCCTAACTACTCAGTGCAAGCGTTCCTCTCTCCATCCCCGCCCCCTACGTCCTCTCTCCTGCATCTCTCTGTTTTTTCCCTCCTCCCCACCCACACACTTGCGCACACATGCACACATGCACATAACCGTGCACATACATACCTATGCACATACATACCCATGCACATTGCTCCATCCCACCCATGCGCTCACACACATACTGCATCAGGTCAGGCCCTTTCCTTTCTCTCCTCAAACCCAATTCCCCTACCCCTCCCCGTCCCGCCCTCACCCCTCAGGAGTTCAAGTTCAACCCCAATGCCAAGGTCTTCACCCCCACCTTCTCCATGCCCGCCGCTACGCCCCCCCCTCTGCCCCCGCCCTTTATCCCCGCTTACCCCTCCGCCCTCCCCCCCCAGCCCCGCCCAGACCACCCCTTCCCCTTCCAACCCCTCCCTGGCGCACTCCCCTCCGCCCCTGGCGCCCCCATCCCCTTCCCCGCCCCCCTCTACCTCCCCACGCCTCTCCCTCCCCCTTCTCCCGCGCTCTCTTCCCCCATTCCCCCCGCCAACGCCCCTGGCGCCCCCACCCCTCCTGCTTCCGCGCTCCCCCTCCCCCTACCCTCCCCCGGGTCCGTTCCCCCTGTGGGGCAAGCAGGGGCGGCAGGGCTTATACCCATCCCTGTTTCGGTGCCAGGTGGCATGCCGCCATTGGCTGTGGCTCCCCAGCCAATGTACCTACCGTCCCAGCAGCAGCAGCAGCAGCAGCAGCAGGCAATGTTTTCTCAGCAAGGATTTGCAGGGGGCGGTAGTGGGGGGAAGCAAGGGGAGGATGGGAGTGAAGGTGGGGAGGTTGGGGGGAGTGGAGGGGCGGCAGGGGGGATGCAGGGGCAAGGTGACGGGCAGGGCGCAGGGGCAGCAGGACAAGTGCAGAACCAGAACCAAAATCAGAATCCGAATCAGAATCAGAATCAGAATTATAATCATCACTACCAGCAGCAGCAGCAGCAGCTGCTGCAGCATCAGGCACACCAGCCAAGGTCAGGGCACCAGCGGCGGCAGCGGCATCACCAGCAGCAGGACAAGCAGCACAGGCACCGACAGGGGGATGGGGGGGAGTATGGTCAGCAGCAGCACCAGCAGCAGCAGCAGCAACTGCAGCAACAGCAACAACAGCAGCAGCAGCAGCATCAAGTGCATTATGGACAACAGCAGCAGCAGCAGCCGCAGCAGCAACAGCAGGGGCAGCAGCAGGGAGAGCAGGGGGATGGAAGCTTCTCTGATCAAAGTGACATGAACAAGTGGCAGCCGCAGCAACAGGTTCGTCATCCTGTTTTGAGTTTTGAGACGTGACGTCTCACAATTCGCCATCCTCCTCTTTTGACCTACGTCAAGGCCTAGTCACCACTTCAGATTTCCCGTGTTTGTTTGTTTGTTTGTTTTTTTTTTTTTCGTAAATTGTTGACATTTGTCGAACGAAGCCTGTCCTTCATTCTAGTTTCTTTCACAGAAATTTAGGTTTGCCTTTTCTCATGGTTCCCAGTCCACAATGCAGTATCCCCTGACCAGTGGCTTCATTTTTTCTTCAACCCCCTGATCATTTCCTCCTTGCTTGCGCTTCCCTTGTAATCAAGTGGCTTCTTTCCCCCCCTTCTCCAATGCCCCCTCTGTCCTCTCTCCTTCCCACCAGCCATCAGGAGCTTTCATGCCCATGCCACCCCAAGGCATGCCGCCCCAAGGCATGCCAGGTCAAGGCATGCCGCCCCAAGGCATGCTGCCGCCGGGCATGCCGCCCGGCATGCCCCCTCCCATGCGTCCATACCTCCCTGCAACACACGGGGGTGGCCAGCCCATGCCTGGAGGCGGCATGGCGGGCGGCATGGGCGGCATGCCAATGATGTTCAGCCCGCAGGGGTTTCCCCAGCCCATGATGTATGGGCAGCACGGCCAGCTCATGTACATGCCCATGCCTCAGGTTCGTCCTTGCCCCATTCTTGCTTTCCTATGTGTTATCTGTGATGTTGTTTGTTAGTCATGCTGTTCAATACGCTGTTTTGTTTCTCGTGTGACGTGTGGCATACATGGAAGGAGTCTGTTGCAAGTTTAGGGTGGATCGGTCAGGGTGTAGTGTTGACTGCACCGCGATCTACAATCAAGGTATGCACGGAAGCTGAGAGTGAGAGTGATGAGTTGAAGCCATCCCACCTAAGTTCCACCACGCCACGCGGTCTTGATCGGCATAATGTATGAGCTAGCAAGCCAAAACCTTAAACCTTGAACCCTAAACCTTGAACCTTGAACCCTAGACCCTGGGCATGCGTGTACGCATAGACATGGACAAGCAGGCATAGTGACATAGACTTCTGCAATGTTTCACCGTCCCTTCCCCTTGATTCTCATGCTGCCATTGCTTCCCACCCTTTCTTATGTTTCCTGTACTGCAATTGCTTCCCACCCTTCTCATGTTTCCCATTCTGTCCACCCCAGATGATGCCTGCTCCTACGATGATACCCTTGCAGCAGCAACAGGACTAATCACAGCAACAATTCTTGAGGCGCCTCCAAAATCCATTCCGTCTCCATGTTTCTCATGCTGCCACTCCTTCCCACTCTTTTCATCTTACCCATGCTGCCCACCCCAGATGATGCCTGCTCCTATGATGATGCCCTCGCAGCAGCAGCAACAGGACCAGTCACAGCAACAGCAGCAGCAGCAGCAACAAGAGGGCTCACAGGCAACGGGCACAGACCAGCAACAGGGTCAACAGCAGCAAGATTCAGGGCAGCAGCAGCAGCAGGGAGCACCATTGTCAGGAATGGCAACACAGCAGAAGGGTCCTCCTCAGATGTACCCCATGGGGATGCCTCGAGGTGAGCATGGTGCAGGTGGTTTCTGAGGATCAAAGAAAAAACACTTGCAGCAAAATGTCAGCACAACAAAAAGGCGCTCCTCAGATGTACCCCATGGGAACGCCTCGAGGTGAGCTTGCGAGACCACCCCATTCCACACCCCTCCTCATTTCCGTCCCCCATCCCACACACCATCCCCTCACCAGGTCATGTGATGCTGCCGCCCCCACACTTCTTCCATCGCCCGTCCGCGCTTCTATTCCTTGGTCACATCAATAATCATTCTGCATCCCCACCTTAATCCCTTCCTATTTTCCATCCCACACACCATCCCCTCAACCAGGTACCGTGATGCTGCCGCCCCCACACTTCTTCCACCGCCCGCCCATGGTTCCCATGCACGGCATGCCGCCCGCCCACATGCCCATGCCGCCCCACCCGGCCTCGTCACCCCCTGTCATGAGCAGCCCGCAACCCCCTGCCGCCATGCCCCCTGCCCGCTGAGGTGCAATAGGAAGGAGAGAGGGGGGAATGCGTGGTGGGCGGGGAAGCGGGGGGAGGGGGAGCGAATGCAGGCATACCACCCCACCCAGGCGCGTCCCCTCCAGTCATGAGCAGCCCTCAACCCCCTGCCGCCATGCCTCCTGCACGCTGAGGGACAGTACGGGTGGCAGAGGGAAGATGGAGGGCAGGAAAGGAAGGGGCGGGTAAAGGGTGGGGGGGGGGGGGGGGGGGGGGAGGGGAGAGGGAGGAAGGGGGGAAGAAAAGAGAGAGCCACCTGCCCACGTGCCCATGCCAGGCTCGTCCCCCCTGGTCATAAGCAGCTCGTTCGAGTTAAAGCCAGGGTCTCATGTACGGGTTGGCCGTGCAACTGCACAACACTTGGGTGAAAAGTGAGTCTCGGTTTGACACAACTTTGGCCCCAGATTCGTAAACCAATCAGACAGGCCCTTTTTTCATCGACAGCAAAGCACTTGGTATACTTGAGACCCTGGCTTTAAATAGTCTCGTGGTTTTGGCATATATCCATAATACACAGCTATCATACCATACTGTGCATGCTAGTTCTCTATGCACCTGAACGTGAACCCATCCTATCTACTATACTGTACACGTATCAAGTGCCTTGAGATTGAACTTGGTCTACGGCCTTATTACTTGAGGTCTTATTGTGGATTAAGTTTGATACAAGGTCGCGGATTTGGAGTTAAGGGGTTTTTGAGAAAGAGTAAGAGAGGTAGGAAACAGAAAAATGGTATGCACTAACGAGCAGTTATCCACCAAAGATGCTGAAATTATACAAACATTACCTAATACAGTACCCATTGATTTTTCAAGCATTTAAACAGTTGCATTGCAAGTTGCAACCCGACACCTATATTTCTAGGAGGGCAAATTACCCTCCAGGGGAGCTTAGCTAGCAGTACACAGTAGTGGGTCAGGTCTTCAGAGTAAAAAATAATAGGAAGTCACAAATGCGCGAGAAAAACTTTGTCAGTCATGCTCGTAGCTGCACCATGCCAGCAGTCACACTGATAAACGGCCATCCAGGCAGCTGCACCACACATAACAGAGGAAAAAGGACAACTGAGAATGTGGTTAACGGTGTGATGATATCACATTGTGCTAAAGCAAAAAGGTGATCTTTTGCAGTCGAAAACAGCTGAGAATACCATGGTGGTGATTGAACGTTAGCAGGGTAAGGCACCGCAATCTAAACCCATAAAAGTGTTACATGATTCCACAACACTACCGCCATCGCACTCACCGCAGTGTCCATGATCTTGACAGACTGCTTTCTGTCTGCTTTGGACAGGTCCAGCTGCTTTTGAGGCACGGCAGAAGTCATATCTTGCAACCCAACCCTCACCACTCACTCACCTTGGTGTCCATAATCTTGACGAGCTGCTTTCTCTCTGCTTTGGTGAGCTCCAGCTGCTGCCCCACTGTGTCCCGCAGAGAGGCCAAGGCCACTCCTGCCTCTCCCTCCTGCTGGTGCGGGTAGGGGCAGAGAGGAGAGATGGATGGAGATATAAAGGGCTATTCTTTGCAGGACAGGACATGTGGAAGGGCAAACCGTGGCTGCGCACACACGTGCACACGCACCCACACATGTTCACGCACACACACGCACACACGCACGCACACACCCACGCACCCGCACACTCACGCATCCACGCACGCACACACACACCCAGGCACCCGTGCACACACCAACACACTTTCAGCACATTTTCGTACCTTTTGCAGAGCCTTCTTCACAGCGCGCTTCACTCGAGTCTTCAACGCAACTCCATCTTTTGAGCCATCAGCCGCATCACTGCCGGGCACCTCCACACCAGAGCTGCTCCCTTTCTTCAATTTCTTCCTGCTGCCACTTACTGCTCCTTCCTTTCCCTTCTCCTCTGCACCGATCCCCTCCCCTTTCGCCTCTTCTTTCACATCCTTCTCGTTGTGCTGCCATCTCTTTCCAATCACCGCTCTCCGCCTCTCTGCAACCCCTGGTACCGCTTCACCCTCCGCAGCTGCCTTCCCGCCCTTGTCTTTCCTCGACCGCTCCTCTCTCTTCCGCTTCTTGCTCCTCCCTTCCTTCTCTCCCCTTTCCTGCTCCGCTGACCCAGCACCATCACCCCGACCCGCATCCACAGCAGCAGCAACAGTTTCTGCGCCTGTTGTCAACACCGCCCCTTCTGCACCAGCTGCTGCACCATCCCTGCTCTCCTCTTCCCCCCTTCCCTCCTCCACCTCCTCCTCCTCGCTCTCATTCCCATCCTCCTCATTCTCCTCCCCCTCGCTGACCTCTTCTAAGTCTTCGAACGTCTGTTTGGTGCCCTTCCATCGAGCCCCCGCCACCTTCCGCGGCAGGTCGCCAATTCCCAACCCCTGCTTGCCGCTCGTCGCATGATCCTATGAAGCACAGAGTTGGAGTGGTGGTGGGGATTGCGAGGGGGCGGGGAAGCAGGAAGAAGACATTATGGAAACGAATTAAAACCAACAATGATTCCCAAAACTCGCTTGCAAGGCGAGCATTGAAGTTCTGCGCATTCCTCTTAATGCGGTTATCAAGTTAGGTACGGTCATATGTACCATGCAGCATGCGTGCCAGGCCAGCCAATGGGATGGCGAACCGGCAGCGGAGCCAGAAGCAGCAGCATGGGCGGCACACGGCCATGGCTCGGACGAACCGAGCCATGGTTTGACGGTGCTCACTGGTGTGGCACGACAGATTGAACTCCATGGACATATGAAAGACCATCAAGCCTTCGAAGCGTGCACGCACACAAACCAACACCCCCCCCCACCCTAAACCTCCAAAACCCTGCCAAACCATTCATATGAAAAATCCAGAAACCCCGACGACCCCCCAAAAGCCCTCAGCATCAAGACTTACATGCACGAGGTTGTACAGGTTCTCCTGGTCCTGCTCGCTAAACCCGCCTTCAACCCTCCGAAACCCTCCATCAACCATTTAAACCTTTCCGAATCCCTGCCACTGATACGTACATGCACGAGGTTGTAGAGATTCTCCTGGTCCTGCTCGCTGAAACCCGCCTTCTTCTCCCCATCCTCCTCCCCTCCCTCGTTTGTCAGTCGCCCGGCTCCCGAGCCTGACCCGCGCACAAACCCAAACCTCGTGCCCCACCAATCCGCAGGCAGCGGCGGAAAGACGAACTGCTTCTGGCACTCCAACTCCAACAACCCGCCCTTCTTAGGCTCGGCCGAACCTGCCAGTCCACCCGAACCAGCCGCTCCGGCAGCTTTCTTTTTCGACCCTGCGGCGCTGCTGGTGCTGCGACAGAGAGCGGTATCTGAAGCGGATTTTACCACCCGCTTCTGCACCCGCCCTGCTGATGGTGCAGATAATTCAGCTGCTGGTGTAGATGATTCAGCTCCTGCTGCTGTTGCCACTGAGGGAGAGGACGCGTTGGCAGCAGGTGGAGAGGTGGGAGGGTTTAAGGGCAGAGAGGAGGGAGTTGCAGTGGTGGTGGGGTCGAGGCGGGGAGTGAGAGGCGCAGGGGAGGACGACGTGGGGACGGCACCCTGTGTGTGATGACGGAACGCGGCGGAATGGGAGGAATGGGAGAAACGAAATAACAAGATTAGAAAATTTGGTACAAAAACGGCGAAGAGCCAAAGTGGCGAGGAGGGTTACCAAAATGGCAAAGAGGTTAAACAAAATGGCTAAGGTTGCCAGACTGGCGAAAAGGGTTACGAAATTGAAAGAGAGGGTTACCAGTATGGCGGAGAGGTCGTTGGTGGAGTAGGACTTGACGCACTTGCCTGCCTCCCTGCGATGATACCTGCGAGAGGATGGGAAGAGATAATAAAGGGATAGATGACTGCTTGAGACAAAAACGGAAAAAAATTACACAATCTTCAGGACGCCTCGAAACAAAGGGATGCAAAAACAGCACGATGACTTTCAAAAAACAGAGGAAGCATCGTCCAATCAGGACACCCCCACGTCAAACATCCACCCATACCACTTCACCATTCCACTGCATCTCTCACCGGCCCTGCGGTCGCACAAGCTTCTGCCGCTTCGGCAACTCGGTCTCCTCATCCGCCTGCTTCCGCTTCTCCTTTTTCTCCTTCTTCTCTTTCTTCTCTTTCTTGCTCTTCTTCATCTTCTTCATCTTTTTCATCTTCAACCCCCCCTCCCCATCCCCTGAGCTTCTGCTCTCATCGGACTCGTCATCGGCTGGGGTACGGAAGCGAGACGGGACAAAGAGAGAGCGAAGGGATAAAAGATGAGAGAGATGTGAGAGAACGAAAAAAAAAAAACAAACAAACAAACAAAAAAACAATTGCGCTGCACTCCCTTTTTCAGGCGCAAATACGCATGAAAGCTAGTGGGAATATTGGAAGCCTGAAAGCAGAACATCTTACAGGAGTCGGAGGAGGAAGAGTCAGATGCTTGCTGCTGAAGACTCTTGCCGTCGTTGACTGCCTGGACGTGGAAAGAGAAGAAAGGGTTACGAGGGGAAATAGATTGAGCGGAAAACGGATGGATGGGACAGGAGGGATGGAAATACACGTCAAACACGATATTAACGAACAGCATTGCATTGTGTGAACAAGCTAAGAAAGATATCACTGCACACAAACGAACGGGTTTTAAAAAAGGCGTGCGTGCGCACATTTCGGCCGGTCGACCAACCATCAGCCGTGAACCCTGACGACTGAATCGCTCTAAGATGAGTCGCTCTAGGATGAGTCGACTCAACAGCCAACCATCAGCCGTGAACCCTGACGACTGAATCGCTCCAAGATGAGTCGCGCAAGAACGGCGTCGAGCACGGTGACACCAGTTACGAGTCGCCCTACGCCCTCCAAAGGCAAACCCTAGATCTTCAATCGAAATGCAGGCGAAATGTGGGCGAAATGTAGGCGAAATGCAGGCGAAATGCAGGTGAGCGGGGCGGCGACCTACCACGTTGAGGCGCTTGAGAAGGTCGTCGAAGACGGCGGTGTTGACGGACCAATTGCACGTCTCCTTCTTCGCCTCCGCGATCCCCACGCCTGGCGGGAGCGGATGAACGACGGGGGGCGGAAGGGGAAAAAAGGGAATATATTTTGTTGAGGCGCCTCAAAAGCACGGCGGTATTGACGGCCCAATTGCACGTCTCCTTCTTCGCCTCCGCGATCCCCACGCCTGGCAGGCGGGAGCGGATGAACGACGAAAGGAAGAGAGAGGGGGCAAGAAGTCGGTGGTCTGCCAAGTCACTTCGATAGTGCTCTGCTGCGTACCTACACACCAAACACTCCCATCGCATGCCTGTGGTGTCGCTAAGTCTATACACAGAATTCTCAACCCGCTCCCCTGGCGCACCTGCCGTGTCAAACTTCTTGGCCACGCGCACGTGAGTCGCAATGCCTTGCCCGTTCCCCTAAATTGAAGTCATTTTTTTAATATAATTCTAAACAATGACACCTACACAACACACTGCCCTGGCTTACCTGCCGTGTCAAACTTCTTGGTCACGCGCACGTGAGTCGCGATGCCTTGCCCGTTCTTCCCGAGCCCTTTGCCCTCCTCCCAGCCCTGCGATTAAAACACAGAGACGAAATCAAGAATCAACGGCGAGCGATGAACTGTCTGCGGGGACACGGAACGAGCCACTAGACAGACGGTGGGTTCGTGGCGATGCAGGGAGCGCTCGAGCCACGAACGAAGGAAGAGCTCCCTGCATGAACGAACCACGCAGGAATGGACGCAGTGCCAGGGTAACCACATTCTCGACTCCTCCCCCCAGGCCGAGAACCACCACGAGATCCGCTGCGAAGCCCAATGCGAAACCCGCACCATCAGACCACACGCCCCCGCATTCGCCATCATTCCCCTGCATCAGACTACACCATCATTCCCCTGCATGCGTGAAAAACGCTCGGCACGCACCATGTTCTTCATGAGCTTGAAGGCGAGCGAGTCCTTCTCCACGCCTTGGAACAGCCGCGCTCCCTCCTTCACCACCGGACCCGCCATGCTGCTGCACTCGCGGGATTCAGACGATATTACTGCGACGATAGCGACAGGCGACGGCGACGGCGACGGCGGCGGTGGCGGCGACGACGACCAGTACGATCCCGCGGGACAACGGCTCGACGGTGCACTGACACAAGTAAACGCACCAAACGCGCTTCAAGGAGATCGAGTGCGCGAGAAGCTTTCAATAAGCGGGAGAACCCTCGCGAGCGAGGGAGGGAAACCCTAAAAAGGGCACGGAGGCTCCAGAAGGAGCAAAGAGAGCGAATGTGGCTGAACCGTGAGTGAAATAGGTTGGAGGGGAGGAGGGTGGTGGGTGGGTGGGTGGTGTGGTGCGACTTGGCAAGCACGTTGCCGGTGGGTGCAAGCGGCGGCCGTGTGGAGCGGAATTGGTCGGTGAGGCACGTTTGGTTGGAAATTGCACACCAGAGCAAGTTCGGTTGGTTCGGTTTCCACGCGGTTGAGTTGGGCGCAAATTCGATTTCTTTGGATGTGGTATGCCACAATGAAAACAGCAATTCGATAAGAGCCAAATATCTCACGTTTCGATAGCAGTGTTACATCCCTAAACAAGAAGATTATGACGTAAACATGATACAACGAAGATATTGATTTGGGCACAACAATAAGTGAACCAAACTGGATGCAGCTCCAGTTCTTGAGAAGCCAAAGTATACATCAGTTCACATGTGACAATGGAGAGAGGTGGCACCTGGACATGGGGAAAGGGTGACAAACACACACGCATGACCAAATTGGAAAACAATACTTCAAGGAATCTCTGACCACAAAATATATGTGCAACCAGGCACACCAGAGCATGAACCAACAGGTACACATACCCGAGTAATCCTCGTCCGCCCCATCGCCGTGGAGTCACCACCAGCTCGACAACATTCCCGGCCCTCAGCACTGTCATGCTCACCCCTCTCCCTTCACTCCCCTGCAGCTCTGCAGCCACCTGCTTCAGCAGCTCCGCCCCTCCTCCAGCCACCCTGCTCCCCCCTCCCCCTTCCCTTCCCTCTGTTACTTCACCAGCAGGAGCACCGTCAGCAGCAGCAGCACCGCCACCAGCAGCCGCAGCGGCGACGGAGCCAAATCGGAGCAGCCTGTCTCCCAGCCTCACGCCATCTACCTCTGCTGGACTGCCAGGTGTCACCTCGTCCACCACTGCGAAGGGCGTGGAGGAAGGGAGTGCTGCTGCAGTAACATCAGCATTGGGAGCAGCAGCTGAAGTAGAAGTGGCAGCAGGAGAAGCTGCAGGTGCAGTAGCAATTGCTGATGGAAGTGTGGAATTTGGTCCTTCTGTCTTTGCTGGTTTTTGCTCCCTGGGTTTGGCCTGCGAGTGGATCTCCACCAACAGCGACTCAATCTGCCCCGTCAGCTGCTTGTGGTCCGCGTGGAGCGCTGCGATTGGTCGGCAGCACGAGGGAGTGTGGGTGCAGGAATGGTGTGAGTTGCATTGCATTGGATGATCCACAGCCAAACACAGGAAAAACAGGCAACTAAGACCTGAAAAATGTTTCTGCTAGCATGCAAAAAAAAAAAGGCATGGCCACCCCAAGAGCTGTGAGCTAGCCCCAATGAACTCCAATGGCGGTTGAGGAACTCTACTTGCAAGAAGGGGCGAGAGAGGAAGGTAGTGGGAGAGGCAGTGGTGGTGGCATGAGCTGAGCCCTACTTGCAAGGCGGTGTCGATCGCTGCGGACTCGAGGAATGTCGATGTCTGCACGTGGAAAGCCCTGAAGGGAAGGAGGGATGAGGGAGAGAGCAAAGGAGGCGGAAGAGATATTATACGTAACCATGTAACCATGTTCCATTTCATGGTGTCTGTCTCACACAGTCAGGCAATGCTTGCTTCCTGCAAATCCACACACACTGCGTCTGCTTTTGCAACAAGACACATACTAGCCCCGCGAGCAAAGAAACGTTTGCGCTTCTCTTTGCAACGTAGGTCCCCACCAAGCCTGGCACCGTGGTGTCGTCACCGTAATTTGACGATTCTAAAAGAACGACAGATTCCCGTCATCCCTGGAGCCAAATACTCCAATTTACGCCTCGCCGCTTGCTCGCTCGAACAGACCTCGCCTCTTGCTCGCTCCTACCATCTTCTCTTCATCTCCTGCCAGCCAGCCTCGCATCCCACTTTCCTTATCCACCAGCCTCACCCTCATTTCATCTCGTCAGCCTCGTCCCAGTCGCCTCGGTCCGAGCCTCCATCCGAGCCTCAATGCGAAACTCAATCCGAGCCTCGATCAACGCTGAGCCTCGAGAACTCCACACGACCCACCACCTCTCCTTCGCCTCTACTTCCTCAGGCTCCAGTATTGCGATGCCTCAACACTCTTACTCACCCTACATTCTCCGGAACCACACCCCTACATTCTTAAAGTCTGCTACACTGCAAGAATCACTCTCGCTATTCCACCTCCGCCAGGCGCGTTCACTCTCGTGACTTCTGAGTCGACTCAAATCTCGCCACGAAAGAAATACTACACACGCCCTACCTCCTTATGTATGAAGATTGGTTTTGAGACGTCTCAATACCACACACGCCCTACCTCCTTATGTATGAAGATTGGTTTTGAGACGTCTCAATACTACACACGCCCTACCTCCTTATGTATGAAGATTGGTTTTGAGACGTCTCAATACTACACACGCCCTACCTCCTTATGTATGAAGATTGGTTTTGAGACGTCTCAATACCACAAACGCCCTACCTCCTTATGTATGAAGATTGGTTTTGAGACGTCTCAATACTACACACGCCCTACCTCCTTATCCACAAGGCTCTCGTTGGTTCCGCCTCCTCCAGGCGTGTTCAATCTCGCGGCGAGCGCGTCGATCTGAGCCTCGAGATTGTCGCGCCGCTCTATCAGCTGCTTCGCCTGCTCCCGCAGCGCCCCCGCGTCCGCCATGCCCATACGCGTTTTGCTTTTGCTACTCGTTTATGTGCAACGCTCGTCTCCAGCCAATCCTGGCAACGACGAGTCGTTAGCGATGCAGAGGCTGTGAATGCTGACGAAACACAATAACCACGGAAAGACGGAATCCTAGGCAACTATGAGTCTTTCGACGTGCTGCCTGCGCGGACCCCTAGTTGATACCTATGTGGTTGTCGTGAGGTTACTGAAACATTTGTGTTAGAAAAAAGGCGTTAATTATCGAAAGTCCGAGCGGAACAATCAACGTGCGCTCGGCGCGTACCGCAAAGCGGGTCAGAAATTCCAAATGACGAAAAGCGGAAGGGAACGCTACTTCGGTGGCATTCCCGAATGCTCGTGCTCGTGGGGCCTTCTTCCCTTTGGAATCTACCCCATGCAGAGGCGGATTCGGCGTATACATAGAGATCGTAGTTCAGGTCATTCAGTCATATCTGGTAACCGATACTTCACTTCAATTTCAGTTAGAGTGTCATTTGTTCATACTACAGAAATAACCTGTTTCTTGAAAATATACTGTATTTGGAACCCATTTGCTGTCGAATCCCTGCCTGAAGACATCGGATCGAACTGGACCCTGCAGCAATTTCCTTTAGAAGAATTTCTCGAACTTACAGAATACGCCCTCAAGCAAACCTCACTTCAAACCAGCCGAATATGTTGGGGTGCGACTGTGCGACCCTTGTAAGCATCGCACAGAATCACACATGATTCATCGGATCAACGATCATCTGACCGATGGCTGATTGTCTCGGCTCATGCTGAGGCACTTTCAGCTTCGAGCCTCTCGATTTGAGAGATGGATGATAGGTGATGGCGACTAAATGCCTCATGAGTCATGGTAGCTCGAGAGCGAAAAGATTGAAGTGATAGCCAGCGAATACCGCTTGGAATCTCCTGGAATCTCGTACATTTCTTGTGCTTCGGAATCTAGTACCAACTCTTTGAGCCAGTGGGAAATCTAGTACTCGTTATGGCCATTTTTCGCCGATCCATTCTGCAGTGGCTTCAGGCCGCCGTTATTCTGATCCCAGCCATCCTCGTTATAGGACCGCATTTCGACGTAAGGCTTCCGCTCGTTGCAGCGCAGCGCGCTGATTGGTCGAGGGAGTCAGGTGGAGGAGGCGAGGGAGCAGGCGGAGGCAGTTTCGCTGAAACTTCGTCGCTCTCATACACGTGTCCCCTGGAAATGGCGTCGCGTCCATACTCGGATAGCTTCGATCCCTGTGAGTCCGCTCTCGAATCTTATCTTTGATTTCCTTTTATCCGCGAATCTGCAAACGCCTCTCCTGCCGCCCAACTCTGATAGCTTCGATCCCTGTGAGTGCACCTCCCAGCCATTCCTTAATCGTCCCACCTCCCAGCCATTCCTTTATCGTCCCCCCTCCCAGCCTCTCAGGAATCTTTCCACTGCGTTCGTCGCTTTTGCCAGCCTGCCTGCGCGAGCAGCCTGATCTCGTCGGTCTTTGCTCTTTTGCAAAGCACCCAAGCACGATCAATCAACAGTCTTCGCTCCCCTGCCACTCAAGCACACAACCCATTTCCCACCCCCTTTCCCCTCCCCCCTTCCTCCCTTTTCCCTTCTTCCGTTTTGTTGCCCGCCAAGTTCATACCAGTGGGTCGCCTTTACGAGCACCCGCCTACTGAAGCCACCCCCCCACCCCACCTCCCCTCACTCAACCTTCCCCCGCGTCCCCTCTGGCTTCCCCCTCCCCCTCCCCTTCCCGTCTCTTCTTTCCCCCTCCCCCTTACAAGCAGCATCCTTACTATCCGCCAAGGTCATATCAGAGGGGCTCCTCTACGCGCACCTGCCTGGCTATTGAGACAGTTTCGACCTGGATCCAACGGTCCTAACCCGTCCTAATCTCCTCTAGGCTGAGCTTAGGCTAGTAGGGATTTTTTTTAGAATTCTCAAAAAACATACCATCCGCCAAGTTCATATCAGTGTGTCGACTCTATGAGCACCTGCCTTTTGACTACTTTCGTTCCCCCACTTCCATTTTCTCCCTTCCCTCTCCCCCCTTCACTTTCCCCAGCCTCCATACTATCTGCCAAGTTCATATCAGTGGGGCTCCTCTACGAGCACCTGCCTGGCTATTGAACGCCCTCCCCCTTCCCACTCTTCCCCCTACCCCCTTCCCCCCTTCTCCCCCTCCCACTCTTCCCCCTTCCCCATCCCCCATCCCGCTTCCTTCCCCCTTCTCCCTCCCCATCCCCGCTACAAGCAGCCTCATTACTATCCGCCAAGTTCATATCAGTGGGTCGTCTCTACGAGCAGCTCAGCAAGGCTCGGCTGCATCTGGGGGAGGTGTTATCTGTGGCGCGGCACACAGGCCGCACCCTCATCCTGCCGTCTGTTGGGAACAGCAGGATCGGCACTGTAGCAGATTATGCCTTCCCCTTCTGCACTTATTTCGATCCGGGCAGGCTCGGGCAGTTTGTGCCATGGGTCTCGGAGGAGTTTTTTTACGGGCAGGTGGTGCCGGCGTGGCGGGCAGCTGGAAGAGGCAGAGGGAGTGCGGTGGCTCTGGTGCTGGGGGATGGGAAGATGAAGGCGTGTGACGTGGTGGGTGTAATGCGGTGCTGCGGGGTGGAATGCAATGAGAGGCTATGATTTGAAACCTGATGGGTATACTGGACTGGTAAGGGGTGCAATGCGGTTGTTTTTCAATCTACAGGTTTATCAGCTGAGAGAGTGTGGTGGCGCTGATGCTGGGGGATGCCAAGATGAAAGCGTGTGATGTAGTGTATGTGTAAAGGGGAAGCTGTAATTGCTTTCTTGCTTTTTTCTCCTGTTAAGTGTAAGGAGCAGAAGGGAGACAGGTACGCTCGCTCTCGCCCCCCCCAACCTTCTCCCGCTACTTTCATTCGAATGGTTACTGGTCTAAGAAAGCATTCCAAGTTAAGACCAGCAACACCAACACTCCCACACTCCAGCCCAACCTGTACCGTCTGTGCCAATGGCCTCCTTTTGAGTCGACTCAAAAGTCACCTTCTGTGCCAATGGCCTCCTTTTGAGTCGACTCAAAAGTCACCTTCTGTGCCGATGGCCTCCTTACCTCCCCTTCCCCCAACACGATCCCTCTCTTTCCATTCCAGTAGAGAGCATCTTATGCCAAGATTGGCCGCAACACCAACACCCTAGGCCTCCACCCCAACCAATGCCCTTCTCCGTGCCAATGTCTTCCTTATCCCCCCCCCTGCTCCCAACCCAACCCCCACCCCACTCCCACCTCCCCCCCTTCCCTTCTCCTTTCCATTCCAGTAGAGAGCGTCTTATGCCAAGATCGGCCGCAACACCAACACTCTGGGTCTCCAGCCCAACGCCTCTCTCCGTGCCGACCCCTCCCTCCTGCTCAACCGCGCTCTCCTCTCCCCCGCCCTCTGCACCCGCACCTGCACCACTAAACGCCGCGCCAAGCCGCCCGGCGCCGAGGACCTGCTGGGAAGAGACAGCGGTGCTACAGTGCTGCCCGGGGAGGAGCCGATGGTTGCGCTGGGAAGAACGGGCGGCGGAGAGGGGGAGATGGAGGGGGGGGAGGAGGGGAAAAAAGAGAATGAAGGGGAAGGTGGGAAGGAGAGGGAGAGACTAAAGGGAGGAGAAGGTAGAGAAGGTGGGGAGGAAGGGAAAGTAGAACCTGATCGGAACGCTGACGTGGCGGTGGTGTTCAAGTCGTCGCCGCTGATGTGTCTTTCCCGGATAGGCCGGCTGGCGTCAGAGGCCCGGCGGTTTCTGGTGTACCCGCCGCACCTGCACCTTGCAGCGGATCACCTTATAACGAAGCACGTCCAACTGCAAGCAGGTGGGGCGAGCGGAGGGGGCGGAGAAGAGGAGAGTGCAGAGAATGCCGAAAGGGGTCACATGCGTGGAGGAGGGGGCGGGGGAGGGGGCGGGGGAGGGGGCAGGGGAGGCGGCGGGGGAGGGGGCGAGGGGTTGGTGGTGGTGGCGGCGCACTGGCGGCTGGAGAAGGCTCTACGGGCGGGAGTGCGGCTGCAGCAGATGGCCGCATGTGCTCGGGGGCTGGTTGACACTGTCAGGGGGTGGGCCACGCGGGTGGGGAGGGCGAACGGAGGGGGGGGGAATGGAGGAGCGGATGGGGGGAAGGGGAAGGAGGGTGGCGAGCAGCAGGTGGTGTTGTTTCTGGCCACGGACCTCACTCCTGACAACAGGTGTGCAGCTGATTCTTGTGTTGCTTCGGAGATATTAGAATCCGGTGGTTCTGGCGACGGATTTGAATCCTCCTGGCAACATGTTTGTGGCTGCTTCTTGCACACTGTGCGGAGACACTGTCTGATTTGATGACAGTGACACAGGCACGCGGAGCTGTGTATCTTGTTTTGATGCGCCTTTTTCTGCCTGGGTGGATTTGGCCTCCTTTCTCTTTTTCATCTTTTTCTCCCCTGTATCTTTTGCTGCGGCGGCAAGAATCTCATCCACCTAGCGAGAGCACAGCAAGAATCACAGGAAAAGACATGACCCCTGTTCCCCATGCTCCTGCCCCATCCCCATCCCATGTCATCAGATGGATGTCCAACTCCTTCACTGTACTCAGCAAGGAGCACAGAGACGTGGCTTTAAGAACAGTGCAGGTGAGCCCCTGGTCTCTTGCATTCCTACTCCACAAACCCAGAGCACTTGCTTTGCTGCTGCAACTGCTCTCGCTCTTTAAGAACGAGGCAAGAGCTTTGTGCAAAACAAATACAGAACGCTCACAGCGAGATGCATTCTCTCACATGCTGCCGAATCTCCAAGTGATCCACCCCTCCCTCCCTTCTTTCTCCCCACCTGTCCCCTCTCTCCTTCCTTCTTAACTAACGAACCCCGCTGTCATTTAGTTCTGCTGCTGCATGAGGAGCTTTGTCCAGTCACGTGGCTGCTACTGAGTTTTTTTTCGAGGTGCCTCAATCCCCTCCCCCTTCCCTCCTTCTCACTCACCCTTCATACCCTCTTCCTCTCTTTCCTCTTCCCAACCTCATTCTGGTTCAGATGCTGCACGAGGAGCTTCGACCAATCACGTGGGCTGCTGCTGACCCCTCTGTCCCTCAGCTGGACACAGGCGTGCAGGTCAGGCCTCATGATTGCGTGTCCCTTTACAGTGGCTTGACGTGGTTTGCACAGTTGGAGCAATGCATAAACCATCATAGATGTTACCAGAGAGCTTCATTCCGTTTTCATACATTTTACCATATACCTAACTTGTATTCACTGTGCTGTTCTTGTATTGTATTTCATTTACTAGTTGTTCTCACCTCGTATGTATCACACCCTGTTTTTTCTTGTTTTGTCGCTGCATGCTGGCCCCTAACAGGCCATCCTCGATAAGCTCGTGTGCATCAAGGCTACAGTGTTCCTTCATGCACCAATGGCTTGCACGGGTGCGCATGACCCGCATGGGTCAAGCTTTACAGAAGAAATATGCGCGAGTAGAGAAGCGCTGGTTAAGGAGGCAGGTAGTGAAGAGGATGGTTTGCTACGCAACAGATGCACGACATGGGATGTGGATGAAGTATAATATTCTTTCTATTCATATCGTAATTTCTCATTTTTTTAGATAGCTCGACTGTACCGATATTGTTGTTGCTCCGATATAGAACGTTGAGAATGTCGGCCCTGCTCGACAGGCAGGCACCTCCTTGGAGCGCTAGGGTTAGGCTAGAGCTAAGAGGTGATTTCGAAGTAACTTCTCCTAGCCCACCCCCCCCCCTCCCCCCAAATCGGAAGCAGCGCCTCCCAAGGTCGGAAGGAGGGGGTTGTCATGGGGATGTTGCAGCCCCTCCTTCCACCATCTTCATCGTGGGCAGGGATAAAAATTTGTGGAGGGATGGCATGGGCACCAGGGTAAATTAATGGAATAAAAAAACGTGCACTTCTCTCGCTGACTGGTTTGGTTGTGGGAGGTTGGGACATTTTCAGGGCAGAGATGGGAGAGGCTAGGGCACGGGCTCTGGTGGGAAAAAATTCGTAGGGTATGGGGTGGGTATTCCCTCCCGTATGAAACCCTAGCCTAGCCCTTGGCCAACCCCCATTCTGGGGATTGGAGGGCTGGGCTAGAGCTAGGCTGTGTCTACGCGTGAGAGAAGGGGCTGGGAGTTTTCGGGGGGGCTGAACTTGAAGGGTTAATGTCGCGTTCGACAGGCTAACCCTTAACCCTTCCTGTTACAGAGCGTTAAAGCCCAGGAACACCAGATTGCGGGCTGACCGTTGAAAAAAGGCCTAAGTCGAAACAGCCGCGAACGTGCCGCGGAAGGGTTTGCGTGCCGGCCGTCGTTTGACGCGAAGCGACGCGGCTTTCGCGGCCATCCACCACACCACCTCCATGACAATCCCAAGGGGCCAGCTCGACAGAATATTCCTAAGACCTGTCAGAGAGGTTGCTGTGTGACCTACTTGTAGGACGAAAAGACAGATGGTCAGCCTCCACGCCTGCTGGGCATTAGGACTGCCTGGAATTTGACAGTGTGGTGACTAGGGCTTGTGTGATTACGTCTCTCGTTGGAGCCTCGTGAAGTCGAAGCCGCGGAAATCATCGTTTCGACCGCTTTTGGAACGGTTTAACGCAGAACGGCGATTATTATAGTAGACGTAGACGATCCTGTGTCTCAGCGTGGCGTTTCATCGGTTTGACGAGCCGCGAATAACGTCAATGACAGCTCCTGATGCCTCCGCCAGCGGCGGCGCCGGCACCGGGCCGTCGACAGCTATTCTCGTTGTCGGCGGGACAGCAGCAGCGGCCGCGGCGTTGTATCTTGTATTGAAGCCGCTATACGAGAGGTTCCTGAGACGCGACGTGCCATTCGGACCCGATACTCATCCCGTCGTAGCGCTGCTTCTTAAACGCCGCCCAGTCCACGCCAGCCATAGGTATGCCTATTGGCTCGAGTAGTAAAAAAACTCAAAGGAGGTGCATATTGGTCGTTGTCTTGAGGTGATTTTTTAGGCGCCTCAAAGGCCACACAGCCACAGTTATGCCTATTGGCTTGCGCAGTTAAAAAACCTCAAAGGGGATCCATATTGGTCGTTGACTTTACATCTCTCTCCCTGTCGTCATCTCTCCCTTCCCAGAGAATACCATGCTCGCATCGCATATCGCAGCGCTGCTGTTGTTGACGCTGCTGGTAGTGCACCAACCGACACATTCCCTGTGTTCTCTCATCGTACCACCTCTCTCTCCCTGTCGTCATCTCTCCCTTCCCAGAGAATACCATGCTCGCATCGCATATCGCAGCGCTGCTGTTGTTGACGCTGCTGGTAGTGCACCAACCGACACATTCCCTGTGTTCTCTCATCGTACCACCTCTCTCTCCCTGTCGTCATCTCTCCCCTCCCAGGGGTGGTGCACGAGCATGGCCAGAAAACACCATGCTCGCATATCGCAGCGCTGCTGGTGTGGATGCCGCTGGCACTACTGCTGCTGGGATTATTTCTCCTGAGGTTGCGGCGACCACCGCAGCCAATGACAGCAGTGCTGATGTGGACGGCAGCAGTGCTGATGTGGACGGCAGCAGTGCTGATGTGGACGGCAGCAGTGCCGCAGGCAGCGGCAGCAGTGGCAGACACGGTGATAATGCCTCTGGTGGAGGGGAGGCTGCCTTTGCTGATCCTGACACCCATGCAAACCCCACGCACGCTGATTTCGAGGCGCCTCAGAAACTGTCTGGACATGCAGACTCTACACACACCGCTGATCCTGATGCTTCTGATGCACCTCGCACTCCTGCTCCTCATGCTCCTCCCGATGCGCATGCTGCTCCTCAAGTCCCTGCTGCGCCACTGCTGCGCACGCAGATACTAGAGGTGGACGTGCAACTAACCAAGGACCAGCAGCTGGTGAGACGCTGTTAGCTTGTGCCTCTGCTTCTTCTTGTTCTGTTGCTGCTGCTTTGGCTACTGTTGGGAATGTTGCTTCTGGAGGTGGTCGTGCAACTGACTTAGGACCAGCACCTGGTGAGGTGCGGCTCAGTTGCAATCCGTGTGCTGCTACTTCTGGGGGTGCTGCTGCCGCTGCTGCGGCGGCTCTTGCTGGGGATGCGACTGCAGCTTCGATTGGAAATTCTATGTTTGAGTCGCTCTTGAGCATTGTCAAAATTGCGCTGTGGCTCTGGGGACGTTAGTGGGGCTTGGGCTGGGGATGCTACTGGGGCTTGGGCTGGGGATGTTGGTACAAAACGTGGACGTGATGATGAAGCCTCTAATTCCTTGAGTGGGAAAGTCTGTTGAGTATCGCCTCCTGACCCTGTTGACTTGGTTTGACTGCGGCGTGTGGCTGCCAGGTCTTGATTCACAACGTGTCAGTGGACGACACAACAGACGGCAGAGGGCTTGTGGAGAGCTACTCTCTGGAGGAGCTCAGGTGAGAGCTCAGGTGAGAGCTCAGGTGAGAGCTCAGGTGAGGGACCAGGTGAGAGGTCAGGTGAGAGGCCGGATGATGTGTTTGACAACACAATGTCTGGTGAATTTGTTTAAATTTTCTATGGTTGAAATCAGCAACTAGGTGATTTAATCTGTAATTGGATGGAGCTGCGCAGTGGTGAATGGGCGTTCAATGTATATCAGAGCGAGGTGACTCCATTCTCAGGATTATGTCACTTGGTGCTACTCCCGATTTGCCCTCATATCCTCTGTGCCACGTGGATGCAGGTCATTGGATGCTGGGTACCATTTCACCCGAGATGGTGGCAAAACTTTCCCCTACAGAGGGAAGGGACTGCAAATACCAACACTTAGGGAGGTAAGGGTGGAAATGGGAACACTTCTGCACCTAACAATTCCTGACACTTACAGATGGATTTGAAGTAAGGGGTCATGTAGGTGCCAGTTTTCCCACTTTTAAGTGCTGACACTTTATCAAACACATTGAGGAGATACTGTCGGCTGCTGCCTGCCCCTCGCCCTCCGCCATCCCTACTCACCCTTCGTGCACACCCCCCCATGCCAGCTGTTTGACGAGTTGGCACGCTATAAGGACCTTGTCTTGCCTTCTACCTGGACTTCCTGTCACTTTCTGAATCGACTCAAGTCTTCCTCCCTCCCCATCTGTCTCCACTCCCCCCTGCCAGCTGTTCCACGAGTTCGCGCGCTACAAGGACCTGGTCTTTTACCTCGACTTCAAGTCCCCCGCAGCTGTCGCTCCCACGCTTCAGGTGATGCACAAAGATCTTATCGACTGGGAAGTATTCTGAGACTTTTTCTCATATAATGCCCACAGCTCATAGCTGTTAATCTGATGCCTGAAGTGAGGTGTCGATCTTATTTAGTAAAGATTCAATTTTTGTGGAGCACGTGTGATTGCTTATGTGTAAACCACTTTGTCTTCTTTTCAGGTCCTAGATATTCATAAAATCGGTCTGCTTTTATTCTCTCTCTTTCCCTGCTGAACTCAATTTTGCCACGTGTGCATGTGCTGGCATGTGGGGCAGATGGTTCGAGAGTATGGGTTGCAGCAGCGCATCATGATGGGAGCAGTGCCTCCTGAAGCAAACAGAGAGGTGCGCTCACATGCCAGCACATGCACATGCGCATGTGCATATCGTGAGCATGTGGCATGCTCTCTGTGTGAGCGCTCACATGCCAGCACATTCACATGCGCATCACGTGTGTGTGTCCTTGCCTGCACGTGTGCGCCCTTCGTATTGTATCATGCCAATTGTTCATGTGCCGCCCTTGCCTCCTTAGGGTGAATCTTTATATCATACCACTGCATGCCAATCCCGCACAGGTACTCAGGCTGAAGCCTAACTGTGTGCCGGCCACGCCTGACATCAACTCCATGATGCTTATGTAAGTGTCTCTCATTAAACCTTAAATTCTCCTTCCCCAGGTTAGCATAAAAGATCTTCTCATGCGCTTGTAGTTCCCTCCAGCTGCCACTCATGCCTGACAACTAACCACTGCCACATCATCATGCCACATGTGCTTTGCCATGTTGACCATAGCTCTACTTCTGTGGCAAACACTTGCTACTTGTTTTTTCGGCCATTTCTTACTTGTTCACATGCATTTGCCACATGCACATTCTTCCTCTACTCAAGCCCCTTTCTTAGTCAACTCAAAAATCATCTCATTACAGGCAACTACTTTTACTCCTACTGGGGCCCTGCCCTTTATTGATTTTCCCGCTCTTACCTTGCCTCCCTGTCCCTTTCCCAGGTACATCTGCTACGTGGTCGGCATCCTTTGGCTTATTCCCATGCGTCACGAGATTGTGGGAACGACAGCATACAGATGGGGATACAAGGTAACGTTTCAGAAGAACTGCTTCTATGGGTTGCAGGCACCTGACTGTCAACCGTTGACATGGTATGGATTACAGCCTCTCAACGACTCTCATGATCCACTCACGTGCTCCGCCCGTTCCTTCCTCTCGGCCCTCACTCTCTCAGGTTCTGAACAGTCGCTTCGTTGCGGCCTTCCAACGACGAGGGGTATGTAGAATCGCCTCTACGAATGCTTTTCGGATTTTGTTGAGAATACTGTTAGGAACCTTTTTTATAACTCATTTGATAGTTGTCATAAGGGTTATATTCTTTAGAGAGCTGTCAACAGGGATGCCTGCATCAAGTTGTTTCAGCGTTTCATCAGCGGGGTGTACCTATGTGTCATCACCTTTTTTATTTTCCCTTATTTCGACATAGCCTTTCACATGTTTTTGCTGAAAACATCTCACCTCTCCTCCTCCTTTTTGCTCCCGCATTTTTCTTCCTTTCCTGCTTTACGACCCCTCCCCCGCTCTCTCCCTCACTCTCTCTCTCTTCCTTCCTAACCCGTCAAACAATGCAGCGATGGGTGTCAGTGTTTGGGGATTACCTCGACCACAGAGCGGGGCAGGTGAGGCGTGGGGGAGGGGAGGTGGGGGATGAGAGGGGCAGGTAAGGCGTGGGGGAGGTGGGGAAGGGAAGGGGCGGGTGGGGTTGGTGAGGAGGGCCGGCCCCCATTGGCCCATGCAGCGATGGGTGTCGGTGTTTGGGGATTACCTCGACCACAGAGAGGGGCAGGTGAGGCGTGCGAGGGGCAGGTGGGTCATGGGGAAGGTGGGGAGAGGAAGCGAGGGGTGGGGGTGGTGAGGGGGGTCGGCCTGTGTTCACCTGTGCAGCGATGAGTGTCAGTGTTTGGGGATTACCTCGACCACAGGGAGGGGCAGGTGAGGCGTGGGGGAGGTGGGGGCTGAGAGGGGCAGGTAAGGAGTGGGGGAGGGGCAGGTGGGGCATGGGGGAGGTGGGGAATGGAACGGGGGGATGGGGGTGGTGAGGAAGGTGGGCCTGTGATCCAAACCGAGGTGCCTGCATGTGCATGTGGATGTGCATGTGCATGTGCATGTGGATGTGCATGTGCATGTGCATGTGGATGTGCATGTGCATGTGGATGTGCATGTGCATGTGCATGTGGATGTGCATGTGCATGTGCATGTGCATGTGCATGTGACTTGCAACATGCTCTTCTCTGACCGTCCTGACAGGCTCAGTTGGTTTTCTTTACCTCTCAAGAACCACCACCACCGCTCTCTATACCTGTGTACCGTGCCCATGTCACATCCTCTTGCAGGTGAACTTGCATGGCCATGGGGTGTGACATGCTCTTCTTTGACGGCCCTGACACTCGCGCTTGGTTTGTTACCACTCTCAGCAACCAGCATTCATTATTAAAACCGTACCATATCGTACCATACCGTTCCCATGCCCTTGCAGGAGGACTGCATCACCATGGGGTGTGACATGCTCTTCTCTGACCGCCCTGACATCCTCCATGACACCTTGGCTAGCCGGCAGTCAGAATGACATCATGACATCGTGACATCGTGACATCGTGACGTCGTGACATCGTGACATCGTGACATCGTGACATCATGACATCGTGACAACATGACACCCTAGCCAGTGTACTACCATTTTGACACATGTTTTACGCCATCGTGTCACCATTGTGACATCATGGCCAGCTGGCGGTAATCGTGACACATTGTTTCCGCAACAAGTTGTACATACCGGTAGCAGAAAGCTTGAATGGATCGTTGGCAAATGCTGCCAACTTGTGACGAGTAGAGGCTCTGTACATTCATTTGGATAAGGGTACCCTTAGCCTGTCATTTGGCAAACAGAGCTTTCAAGTTGCACATAGGTATATAAATACGTTACTCGTGTGAAAACCGTTTGTACTGCTTGCTGATTTTGCAAATAACTACAGTATAAGTGTACGGCATGCTGAAGGCAGAGAACAATATTGTTTAGCAATTTCACTGACTGATTGCAATTTTAGAAAGACTCTGGTTCTGTGGATTGGATGCCCTCACAGCGGGACTCATGAAGCACATGCACACACGCGTGTGTAATATTTGTGAATACTGTACCTTCTGTGGCTGGTGGGCCTGGTGTGTCTGTGGCCAGTCTTGTGTGGTGTCTTATTTGAAAATAAAGAGTGTTTTACACAGAAGCTAACAGTTCACCTATTTTAGATTTGCCACAAACTAACAGCTCAGCCTGCCACCACCTCTCTTCTCTTCTGCAGCACACGGAAGGCCAAACAGGACCACAGGAATGATTGAGGGAGGCGAGAGCATGGGCAGAGGTTTGGTTGTGTTAATACAAGCGAGCCTTTGGCAGAACACAGGAGATACAGCATTGCTGCATGGGCAATGAACACAGCTGATTGTACCGTACACGTGGCAGCCAACACAGCTGAAATCTCTTCAGACGCTTTGCGTGACAAGGCATCAATTAGCCAGATGCCCTTCGTGTGTAACTGGACGATGGTATTGAGTGGTCCAGGTAGCACACCTGGTACTTCACCAATGCACACCTTCTACACCACATGGTACTGCATGCTACCGCATGCTACCAATAGTTACCGCATTCTACTGCATTGTACCACTAGCACACCTGCCGTATGTTACCGAAAGGTACCGAGAGATACCGCATTGTACCAGTGACACACCTGGAACTGCTCCAAAGCACCTAGCACCACATGCTACCACAAGGTACCGCACTGTACCACATGATACCAGTGGCGCACCTGGTACTGCTCGAGGCCCGTGCGGAAGTAGGCATCAATGACCCAGCACGCTAGCTCTGCTCTCCACATGATATACTGCACCATACTGCACTGCACCGTACCGCACTGTACCAATGACACACACCTGGTACTGCTCGAGGCCCGTGCGGAAGTAGGCATCAATGACCCAGCACGCTAGCTCTGCTCTCCACATGATATACTGCACCATACTGCACTGCACCGTACCGTACTGTACCAATGACACACACCTGGTACTGCTCGAGGCCCGTGCGGAAGAAGGCATCAATGACCCAGCACGCCAGCTCTGCTCTCTCCACATGCTACCACATAACATCACAATGTACCGCATTTTACCGCACTGTACCGCACTGCGCACCTGATATTGCTCAAGGCCGGTGCGGGAAAAGGCATCGATGACTCGACACGCCAGCTCTGCTCGCTCCAACGCCTCCACGTACTTCAGGGCTGGTGGGGTAAGATTGGGTGATGTGCAGTGGTGAGGAGTGGAGAGCAATGAGGAGCAGTGCTGTGCAGTGAAGGGCAGTCATGTGGACTGAATGCCATAATGGCAGGTGATGTGCAGGTGATATGGAGTGATGTGCGGTGATGTGCTGTGCAGTGACGTGCGGTGATGTGCGGTGATGTGCAGGTGATGCGGAGTGATGTCTCATGCCTCCCATTTGCTGCATCCCCATGCCCATACTACGCACATGCCCCATGCTCATACCCATACCTATACACATGCCAAGGCCATACCGATATCCATGCCAACATGCCTCCCTTACCTCTGATCCGCCCTGTGGCTTCACATGTGTTCATCCTATGCACGACCACTCCCCTACAACCGTTGAAACGAGGTGACTTCTGAGTCGACTCAGACAAAAGTCATCATCCCACCCACAACCACTCCCCTGCACGCATTGAGGTGGTTTTTGAGGCGCCTCAAAAACCACCTCAAGAAACGAGGTGACTTTTGAGTCGACTCAGAAGTCATCATCCCATCCACAACCACTCCCCTACACGCGCCTGCTCTCTCCACCAACTATCCATATACCCATTGCTCCTACCTTGTTTTGAGGCATCAAAATCCAAATCCATGCGCAAGTCCCTCCCTCACCTCTGATCCGCCCTGTGGCTTCACACGTTATCATCCCATCTACCGCCTCTTGCCCACTGCTGCTGCTCCCTGCTGCTGCCGCCCCTCCTGGCCCAGTGGGCACTGTAGCAAGCACTGTGCCGTCCGGTGCTAGAGGGTGGTTTGCAAACACTGTGCAGAGGGTGGCAGACGCTGTCTGTAGTGATGGGGGGAAAGTGGGGAGAGGGAGAGTCAAAGAGGGTCAAGGTGAGTAAAGGACATTAAAGGATAGTCAAGGAAAGTCCGGGAGAGTCAAGGAGAGGTAAGGAGAGGTAATGAGAGGTAAGGAGAGGTAAGGAGAGGTAAGGAGAGGTAAGGCCTGGGGGAGGCTCAGTCACCTGCTGCTCCTGCTTGGTTGGGTCCAGCAGCAATTGACCTTGCGAATCCATTGCCAGTTGCAACGAGGTGACCTCTGAGTCGACTCAAAAGTCACCTCCTTGCAGCTTTGAGGAGGCTCACCTGCCTGGGGGGGGCTCACCTGCCTGGGGGAGGCTCACCTGCCTGGGGGAGGCTCACCTGCCTGGGGGAGGCTCACCTGCCTGGGGGAGGCTCACTCACCTGCTGCTCCTGCTTGGTTGGGTCGAGCAGCAATTGACCTTGTGAATCCAGTGCCAGCTGCACTGCCGCTGTGTGTATAGGGGCATGGGGAGGCGGGAGGGAAGGAGAGCGTGCGTGTGAGTGAACAGTTAAGCGTGGGATTCTGGTACTGTTTCGATGCGCACACAGAGTGAAGATGAGAGTGGTACGAGGAGAGGAGGGACGTGAGGAGAGAGGGGAGAGAAAGGAGGGAGAGGAGAGAGCGGAGAGAGAGGAGAGAGGGGAGAGAGAGGAGAGAGGGGAGAGAGGGGAGAGAGGGGAGAGAGGGGCGAGAGCGGAGAGAGGTGGGAGAGGGGAGAGAGGGGAGAGAGGGGGCAGAGGGGGCAGAGGGGAGAGAGCGGAGAGAGGGGAGAGAGTGGAGAGAGGGGAGAGAGGGGAGAGAGGGGAGAGAGGGGAGAGAGAGGAGAGAGGGGTGAGAGGGGAGAGAGGGGAGAGAGGGGGGAGAGGGGAGAGAGGGGAGAGAGGGGAGAGAGGGGAGAGAGGTTAGAGATGGGGGAGAGGGGAGAGAGGGAGAGGGGAGAGAGGGAGAGGGGAGAGAGGTTAGAGATGGGGGAGAGGGGAGAGAGGGAGAGGGGAGAGAGGTTAGAGATGGGGGAGAGGGGAGAGAGGGAGAGGGGAGAGAGGGGAGAGGGGAGAGAGGTTAGAGATGGGGGAGAGGGGAGAGAGGGAGAGGGGAGAGAGGTTAGAGATGGGGGAGAGGGGAGAGAGGGAGAGGGGAGAGAGGTTAGAGATGGGGGAGAGGGGAGAGAGGGAGAGGGGAGAGAGGGGCACCTGGGAGGCAGGCGAGAGGCAAGCCGGCATCGAGGAGAGCAGCAAAGGCGGCATTGAGAGCACACGCCAGCAGCTGGCGATGGGCGGGGTGTGGAGTGGTGTGGGGTGGCGTGTGGGGTGGTGTAGGGTGGTGCAGAGGGGTGTAAAGGGGGTGGGGGAAGAGAGGGAGGCAGGAGGAGGGGAGGGAGTTGTGGGGAGGGAAAGATGGAGAAAAACGGAGAGCAAGGGAAAAGGGAAGTGCCGTAAACAGAAAGCTGATTTAGGGAAAAGGGAAGATGACTTAGCAATCTTGCCAGATTTCAGCGGGAAATTGTGGGGTTGATCACATAGACCACCTAAACAAACATTCAGCGATTCGCCCTCTACAATCTAGAAAATAGGAAACCGAGTGCCACCCAAGAATGACCGAACCACAGCATAGCATAGCCATGGCTTTCCTCAATCTACAGCCATCCCAGTGAATCTCTAGATCTGTCCACTTTCGTTTTCAGCGCTCGGGTACGGTGAAAATTAACCCGAACCTGCTGCCCAAGAAAAGGTTTTGCCTGCCCAGACACACATCTTCCGAGAGAGATTGTCGTAGCCACAAAATAGCGTGTTGATGTATATTAAAATGCAGCAGCACTGAAGACTTACCGAGCCATCGTCATGCACCACCTGCAAAAAAGGCATGGGCAGTGCAATGGGATGCGATGCGATGCGATGCAATGAGATGCAATGCGATGATGCGAGAATGAAGGAGAGGAGGAAGAGGGACAAGGGCACATAGGAAGTTGGGTGGGGAAGGAAGCGAATGCTGCATCAGGATGAGGAGACTAACAAGGGAAGGGCCTGTGAGACGCTGGAAAATAAACTGTTTCTTCTTGAGGAGACTAATAGGATTCTCGAATGTGACTCAATAAGAGCTAGGAAAAGCCCTGCCCAGCGCAAAGCAAGATGCAATGAGATGCGAGGATGTGAGTAGAAGAAGAGGAGGATAAGGGACAGGGGCACATCGGAAGTTGGGTGGAGAAGGAAGCGGACACTGTATCAGGATAAGGAACGCTTGAGACTAGAGACTAACCAGCGGATAAGGAGACTAGCAAGGGAAGGGCCTGTGAGACGCTGGAAAAAAATAACAATAATTCCTTCTTGGGGAGACTAATAGGATCTTCGAATGTGACTCAATAGGAACAAGAGAAGGGCCTGTACAAAGCAAAGCTCGAACAAACAAAGTTTCAAGTGAAGGGAGGTTGGAAAGACAAGTGGATGCAGAATGATTCAAGTGGCATGTCTTATGTGCTGGTTGTGCAGCGTCGCAGCTTTATCACCGCACCACACCCCTCCCTGCAGCTGCAGCACCCACATTCTCCACTGCGGGACCATGCATCACCGCACCGCACCCCACTCAACCCACCTGCAGCTGCAGCTGTATTCTTGTGCGCGGCAGCAGCGACGACAGCAGCACGGCGTCGATTGTCTGCCGCACCACTGCCTCGCTGTACTTCTCCTGTGGGCCTGATGGGGTAAAAGGGGGAAGGTTAAAGGGCGGGAGTAAGGGGGAGAGGAGGGATTGGAGTGGACATGACATGACATGACATGACATGTCCGGGGCAAATCACGTCAGCAGCACCACATCCACCGTCTGCCGCCACCACTGCCTCGCTGTACTCCTCCTGTGGGCCTGGTGGGTGGGAGGGAGGGGAGCAAGGGGGAAAGGAGGGGAGGGAATGGTAAACGGAGTGTGAGGGATTTGTCTCTTGATGACAGGGGGCAAGGATGACAGCAGCACGGCGCCCACTGTCTGGACACACCACCACCATTACAGCCACTCTCAGTACAGTCACAAGGACCTGCTGTTCGGTTCCTGGGCACCCATGTGAGTGACAGCACAGTCACTCTCTGCAGGGAGGCTCTCAGAGGGTCCTCCTTGCCCCCCTGCCCCGCTGCCCTGCTGCCCTGCTGCCCCGCTGCCCTGCTATCGATCCCCCCCATCACAGTCACACACCACAAGTACAGTCACACTCACCTGCTATTCCGTTCCTGGGCACCCATGTGACCTGCAGGGAGGCTCTCAGCGGGTCCTCCTTGCCCCCCTGCCCCACTGCCTTTGTTGGTGCTTAACCAGCAATAGAGCTCCCCTGACTACTCGTTACAGTCACACATCACAGTCACACCGCCACTACAGTCACACCGCCACTACAGTCACACCGCCACTACAGTCACACCGCCACTACAGTCACACCGCCACTACAGTCACACCGCCACTACAGTCACACCGCCACTACAGTCACACCGCCACTACAGTCACACCGCCACTACAGTCACACCGCCACCGCCACTACAGTCACACCGCCACGACAGTCACACTGCCACTACAGTCACACCGCCACTACAGTCACACCGCCACTACAGTCACACCGCCACTACAGTCACACCGCCACTACAGTCACACCGCCACTACAGTCACACCGCCACTACAGTCACACCGCCACTACAGTCACACCGCCACGACAGTCACACCGCCACTACAGTCACACCGCCACTACAGTCACACCGCCACTACAGTCACACCGCCACTACAGTCACACCGCCACTACAGTCACACCGCCACTACAGTCACACCGCCACTACAGTCACATCGCCACTACAGTCACACCGCCACTACAGTCACACAAACCTGTTCCGTACCTCGGAGCCCATACGACCTGCAGGGAAGGCTCTGAGCAAATCGTCCTCACTCTCTCTCCCCTCCACTGCCTAGTTGGTGGTGCTTAACTAGCAATAGCGCTTCACTGACTACTCATTACAGTCACACCACCACGACAGTCACCCTCAGTACAGTCACACGAACCTGCGATGCCATTCCTGGGAACCCATATGACCTGCAGGGATGCTCTCAGAGGGTCCTCCTTGCCCCCCTGCCCCACTTATGCTGCTGCTGCTGCTGCTGCAGCAGGAACAGCAGCAGCGTTCCACTAACAAACTCACTGCTCGGTACAGTCACACGCACCTGCTATTCCATTCCTGGGAGCCCATATGACCTGCAGGGAGGCTCTCAGAGGGTCCTCCTTGCCCCCCTGCCCCACTGCTCCCCCTCCCCCCGCCAGCCCCCCTCCCGCCGCGCCCATCCCCCGCGGCCCATACACCCCCGCCACCACACATGTGTCCCCTGCATTAGGGGTTTAAGAGGGGTTAGAAGGGAATGAGGGAGGAAATGGGGAGATTCAACTGAACCGCGCTCATTACCCGCGGCCCATACACCCCCGCCACCACACACGTGTCCCCTGCAAGGGGTGTAAGGTTTAAGGGGGGTTAGGGGGGAATGAGGGGGAGAAATGGGGAGATTCAACTGAACCGCGCCCATCCCCCACGGCCCATACAACCCCACCACCACACACGTGTTTTCCTGCACGGGGTTTAGGGTTTTTGGGGGGTTAACAGGGGAAGGTGGGTTAGGCACGGGATGGGGGTTAGGCGGGGATGAGGGGAAGAAATGAGGAGATTCAACTAAATCACGCCCTTCCCCCACAGCCCATACATCCCCGCCACCACACATGTGTCGCCTGCAGTAGGGAGTGGGAGAGAGGGGGGAGGGGGAGGGGGGGGGGGGGGGGGGGTTGGCTGGGAGAAGGAGGAGGGGGATAGGAGGGCTTCGGGGAGAGTGCGAGGAAGAAGCGGAATGGTCTGAGTGACCCACGCCCATCCGCCGCGGTCCTTCCACCCCCGCCCATCCGCCGCGGTCCTTCCACCCCCGCCACCACACTCGTGTCGCCTGCAGGGGGGTCTGGAAGGGGGGGTTGGGTGGGGAGCGAGTGCAGGCGAGCAAGGGTATATGAGAGGGTAAAAAAAGGGGGATTCAATTAAGCCATCCTTCCGCGGCACATACACCCCCGCCATCACACACGTGTCGCCTGCAAAGGGTTTAGAATGAAGCGGGAGAGAGAGGGAGTGGATTGGGCGGAGGGCGGGAAGGGGGGTTGAGGCGGGTTGTGGGGGTGGGCCGGGGGAGCGGGGGGAGAGAACGAGGGGATTCGGGAGGGGGAGGGGGGGAGGGGAGGGCGGGGGTGCGAGGAAAGGACGAAGAGTCGCGCATTCAGCTTGTGAACATATCTCGTGCACGCTAGGTGAGTGAGTATAGCGAGCTAGGCGATCCCGAACAGCGTGCAGGGAAGATCATACCCTTCACGCAGCTCCAGTAAACGTTTCTCTCGTTACAATCACGCAACTCACGACCACCTTGCAGAGCAAAGCTTTGAGTTGTCGCAAAACTCGCCCGTTACAGTCACGCACTTAGCGACCACCTCGCCCGTTACAGTCACGCACCTAGCGACCACCTTGCGGAGCCATCGGCGCGGCACAGCGGACCCCGGCTGGCGAGCATTGGTCGCAGCTGCGTCGCCGTGCGACCGTCGGGTCGCGCTGGATTAGAGTACGACGCATCTTTGGTCATGATAACAAATCACGAACGCGGAAGGCGAACAAACAAGAAAATACTATTTCAGATGTTTCCGACACGGCGGTACCACGCTGACAATATCGACTACGGCGGAGAACGCGGAGAAAGCAACCACTGACAGTCGGTCGGACGAGCATTGCTGGTTGAAATACATGCTTTATTAGTGGCTGACGTAAGAGAATAATGTCTGCTGGGAAACATGGCAATAAACTTACCAAAACAAAGGTGAAACAAAATAAACAAACAATGGCGCTATTCTCTTGCCGCATTAGGTTTTGCGCCAAGTGTCAAATTCCCAGTAACTAGACGACTAGGATAAAGGAGCTTATTAAGTAGCGGGTCGGTGCATCAATGGTGTTACGAATGGTAAATTAAGAAAGAGAATGTGCAAAGACGCGAAGTAAGGAAAATGATTTTTTCTTACAATACCCCTTCCCCTAAGGAGGCCCTCTTTTACGAAATTGCGTGTACATCCTGGAAATTTCAGCCGCGCAGATACTCAGTGAGGATGGGTGGTTTTCAATTCTATCCACGGGAACCCAGTTGTCAACGGTGGGCGTGCGGTCTTTCCAGCGGATCAGAAATTCGATTCTGCGGGCTCCTCGTGGGTCACGGACTCGGTGGCTCAATATTTTTTCGGGCGTGATGATTGGCTCTGTTGGCGGTCGTGTCATGCTGTTTGGGCGGTTGCGAGGCAGTTGGCTGGTGGAAGGGACGTATGGGCGGAGGAGGCTGACGTGGAACGACGGGCCGACGTACCAGTCGGCTGGGAGGAGGAGGTGGGCGGTGACGGGAGTGACCATCTGGCTGATGCAAAATCACGCAACTCACGACCACCTTGCAGAGCAAAGCTTTGAGTTGTAGCAAAACTCGCCCGTTACAGTCACGCACTTAGCGACCACTGTGATAATGAGAACGAGAATGAATGAACTATGAAATGAAGTGAGTACAAATATGAAACCCTAATTGGTTGTACCCCCTATGGGATACCCCACTATAGCCTACATAACAGCATAAGCTACAATGTTCTGACACACCCCCATAGGCAAAGTGGGGGAGAACAAGGGGTCACAAGACCAGTCAAGCAAAGCAAAGCAAAGGAAAGCTCAGGGTGGATCACAAAGTCACCACACAGTCCGAGCACAGGGTCAAGGCCACACTGCCAGTTCACATGCAAGAGTACACACATATATATAAAGCTAGACAAGCAAGAGCAGGTATATATATATGTGAGAGTACAAGCAAGGTCAAGAGGAGAGCAAGTGAGGCAAGACGGGCACAAGACCCAGCTGAGTGCAGAAGCGCTGATGATCACAAGGCGGAAGTGCCTTGGTGAAGACATCAGCAGTGTTGGCCTCAGAGGCCACGTACGCAAGCCGCAACTGTCCACGTTGCTGTAGCTCACGAGCAAGGAAGTAGCGGAGAGCATTGTGCTTTGTTCTGTGCTCCAGTCGCTGCTCTCGACACAAGGCCAGCATGGCCTTGTTGTCTACGTACAGGACTGGAGGAGAACGAGGCGGCTCTCCAAGGTCGGTCAGCAGGTAGGTGAGCCAGCGAAGCTCCTGTGCAGCCATGGCCCCGGCGTAGATCTCAGCCTCACAACTCGAGCCAAGAACAGAAGACGAGCGAGTAGCCCGCCACGAAACAGAGCCGGAACCAAGGCTGAAGGTGTAACCCTGTGACGACCGCTGCGTAGCCTGGTCGTCAGCCCAAGAAGCGTCCGCGTGCCCAGTGAGGACCACTGGACTCCGCCCTCCAAGCACTAGCCCCATGCCCGACGTACTGCACAAGTAGCGCAACACCCTCTTCGCTGCAGCCATGTGCTCTGGTCTGTGTCTCCCAGGAGCAACATAGCGTGCAAGAATGCTAAGAGGGTATGCAAGGTCAGGTCGTGTGCAGGTCATCAGGTACATGAGGCAGCCAACAAGCTCTGGGTACGGGCCACTCGACTCTACGGACTCATCCGAAGGCAGAGCTGAGAGCGAGTGGCGAGTAGACAGAGGAGTGGCCTGAGGCGAGGAGTACGTGAAGCCGAAGCGCTGAAGGACCTGCTGCACCATGTGTGACTGAGTCAGGGTAATGGTGCGGCGTGCTCTGTCCCGGGTGATCTGCAAGCCAAGGTAGCTGCGCAGTTCACCCAGGTCTGTGCACGTGTGTCTCTTCTGCAGCTCGGACTTCACGTAGGCGAGTCCAGCAGTGTCAGCTGTGGCAAAGACCAAGTCGTCGACGTACACGAGGATGTAGAACGGCGGCAGAGAGGTGTCGGTGCGTAGAAACAGCGACGGGTCGGCAGTAGAAGGAGCAAACCCAAGAGCCGCAAGCGTAGTCCTCAGTGTGTCGTGCCACTCACGTGGCGCCTGGCGGAGACCGTAGACTGGACGCCGGAGACTCCACTGGGTACCAGGAGGGAAAGACCCAGTGAAGCCAGGTGGGCGACGCAGCCAGATCTCCTCGTGCAGGCTGCCCTGCAAGAAAGCTGTGCTGAAGTCAAGAGAGTGCAGCTCGTAGTCACGGTGAGCAGCAACGTGCAGCAGTACCCGAAGAGTGGTCATCTTCGGGGTGGGGGAGAAGGTCTGAAAGTAGTCAACTCCCTGCCGCTGACTGAAGCCACGAGCCACGTAACGCGCCTTGAAGACAGGCGGAGAACCCGGCGGCCGCTTCACCCTGAAGATCCACATGCCACTGACGATGTTCGCCCCAGGAGGGGGGACAGCATCAACGTAGGTGCCTGTGGACTTCCAGGAAGCCATCTCTGCATCCATAGCTGCCTGCCACTGAGATGAGTAGGGACCCTCTATCGCCTCCGCGTAAGAGCGCGGAGTCGGGATGTCAAGTGCATCCGGGTCTCCCTCAGGGGTAAGCAGTACGGACACGAGATGAGGTGAGGCAGCTGCCAGACACTGGAACTCCTCCTGCCTGTCCTCAAGGACGTCCGTGCCAAGGGCACACTCACCCCCGACGGACGGAGGACAGACAGACTCAGACTCAGCGACAAGACTAGCAGCGTAGTCTAAGCGACAGCGAGCAGCAAAGTCGACGAGCTCAGTAACGAGAGCAGACGCAGCAGTAGACTCGAAAGAAGGGTCAGTGACAACAGTAGCAAGGAGACGCGTGACAGTAGGACTGGCAGCACGAAGAGAGTCCGACTCCGGGTCGGCAAGAGCAGGAAGAGAGGACTCAGGAGGAGAAGGCAAAGGGGCACGCAGAGGAGCCGTGGACGGACGCAGAGACATCCGGTGCGTGCCAGGGACAGGAGGAGGACGCTGACGCGAACCGTGACCACTAGTGCGAGCAGCACGGACAGGCGACGCAGGGCGAGACGCAGGCTCACGACGCTCAGCCAGACCTCCAGTAGGACCAGTGTAGGGAGAAGGAGCAGGCAAAGGGGAGGTAGGCTGCAACTGTAGCTGGGACGAGACAGGCTGTGGACACTCTAAGGGAGGAGGAGGACCAGTAGAAGGTGGAAGACCAAGAACCTGCTGCAGGAGTGGAACGAAGTACGGTCGAGGCCGCGCGGCGACGCTAGAAGCAGCAGGGACAGCACCAGAACCCTCAGCAGGAGCACCCGCTCCAGCAGCACCACCAGTAGCTCCAGAACCTCCAGCAGCACCAGGAGCACCCCCAATAGGACTGCCAGCGGTAGTCTCAGCGCCAACACCCTCAGCAGCACCAGCTCCAGTGCACCCAGGACGAGCACCTCCGGGACCCGCGACCGCAGCACCCTCAGCAGCCGAAGGACCTCCAGCACCAGCAGCACGCCTCCAGCGCCGGGCAAACCACTCACGCAGCTCCTGTGGCGAAAGTGGCTCCCGGCGAGACGAAGCACTCGGAGAACCTCCAGGCTCAGCACCCCCAGGCGTAGCACCCCTAGGCTCAGCACCCCCAGACGTAGCACCCCTAGGCTCAGCACCCCCAGGCTCAGCACCCCTAGGCTCAGCACCCCCAGGCTCAGCACCCCTAGGCTCAGCACCCCCAGGTACAGCACCCCTAGGCTCAGCACCCCCAGGCTCAGCACCCCCAGGCTCAGCACCCCTAGGCTCAGCACCCCCAGGCTCAGCACCCCTAGGCTTAGCACCCCCAGGTACAGCACCCCCAGCCTCAGCACCCTCAGCAGCACCAGAGTCACCAGTGACCTCGACAGGCTCGACTGCGTCTACCTGGGACACACCTGAAGGGGCAGGACCCTGAGGGGGGAGGGGGTCTACCTGGGGGGGACCTGGTACCAGGAAGAGTGGGGGTGGGGGGAGGGACGGAGTGCGGTAGGGGAAGAGGCGGTAGTAGGGGACCGACTCGTCAAACGTGACGTCCTGGGAGGACAGAACACGGCGAGAGGTGGGGTGGTAAAACTGCCACCCAGGCGCGTCAGGGGGGAACCCCAGGAAGACGCAAGGAGCAGCACGAGGGGATAGTTTGTCCGCAGACAGGTCGCGGACAAACGCCCGAGATCCCCAGACCCGGAACGCCGACGCATCGCCAACCTTCCCGGTCCACAGCAAGGCTGGGGAGGTCTCCGGCCTGGAGACCCTGGGGTGGAGGTTGATCTGATGCGCCGCGTACCTCACCGCAAACGGCCACAGAAAATGGGGGGCAGCCGCATGCATCATAGACGTACGAGCGACGTCCATGACCATGCCAATGCGGCGCTCAGCAATCCCATTTTGCTGCGGTGAGTCCGGAAGCGTGAAGGTCTGACGGATGCCCCGTGCACGACAGTAGGCACGCAGAAGGCCAGAGGAGAACTCTCCGCCTCTGTCCGAGTGCAGACGCAGAACAGGAAAGTCCGAGCCGAAGCTCTGCCTGAGCTGGAGACGAGCTGCGCGGATCCAGTCGATCAGCACCTCAGTGACATCACCCTTGCTGCGCAAGGGGAAGACTGTGGTGTAACGCGAGTAGTCGTCAACAACGAGCAGGAAGTAGCGCTCGTG